TACACCTCGATACTCCAGGGGTTACAATCACTACACCTCGATACTCCAGGGGTTACAATCACTACACCTCGATACTCCAGGGGTTACAGTCACTACACCCTCGATACTCCAGGGGTGCCAATCGCTACATCCTCGATACTCCAGGGGTTACAGTCACTACACCCTCGATACTCCAGGGGTTCCAATCGCTACATCCTCGATACTCCAGGGGTTCCAATCGCTACATCCTCGATACTCCAGGGGTTCCAATCACTACACCTCGATACTCCAGGGGTTCCAATCGCTACACCTCGATACTCCATGGGTTGCAATCACTACACCTCGATACTCCAGGGGTTACAATCACTACATTCTCGAAACTCAAGGGGTTATGATCATTACATCCTCGATACTCCAGGGGTTACAATCACTACACCTCGATACTTCAGAGGTTACATTCACTCTCGCTCTCTGCACCTCTAGGACATGTCCTCGATACCCCAGGGGTTACTATCACTTTCGCTCTCTGCACCACTGGAACATGTCATGGTAAAATTGAAGGTTTTATGTGCGACACATAGTGTATGAGATAAGAAGTCTAGTTTGATCATTTGATGTACATCAACCGAATCTTAACGAATCTCGAGGTCGCATAACGGTATGTCGTAATCTTCACAGTAGCATATAGGTATATGATTGGTCAGGTTTTTTCTCTTGAAACCCTCTCTAGACCAATCAAATTATTTCGCTTATATCTTCAATATTTTAATTAAGTATTCTAGGGGTGTAGAGAGCAATATCTATTATCATAATATATCAATACAGTTGATACTAACAACAGCATCAAATACACATATGAGAAGGAAAGAAAGATGACGGTACTATGAAAGTATTGGTTTATCAGAAAAAGATGTACACTGACCAATACCTCCGATAACACCACCCCTCACACCAGACATTGGCCGTTGTGCGAACTTTGCTCAACAGATGTGATTGTCACAGAAGAACAATACAAGAAGAAATAACAAAATCATATGTATATAGAACCACAAAAATATGTGGACACCATGATCGGACAATATCGAAAGTTAACAATGAATTCCGTGAAAGCAAAGAAGAGACAAATCACCAAGGAAAAGAACAAAATGAAAGGACAGATAGTCTCCCCATACTTCAAAGAACTGTCAGAAACCATTCAAAGGACAGTCATGAAACCTTACAAGACTCTCCAAAATGTCCTCGTCAATCCTACGGATACAACACCCAAAGAGAACTTCTCAGAATACGTATGCAAAATCGGATGTAAGAACTGCGACGCATCGAATATTAGAGAAACGGACAGGAAGTTCAGAAAGACGCGGAATCTCAAGAAGGAAAAAAAACATAGTGAAACTTCCAAAATAGCAGACAGGCTTCAGGCGGATAGCTGGTGAAGGAGGTAATCATCATATTTGTCCCTAAAACATTTAATCTGAATTAGTAGTTTTGGGACAAACAGGTCTTAACTTCCAACAGTAACGCTTTCAGTAGCAGTATTTTGGAAAGCTGCAAAAATGATCGAGATTTTTATATCATAATCCAACAGTAACACGTTCAATATCAGTACCTTGAAAAACTACAATGATATCGAGAAATTAATATCATCATATTGGGCTGTCAATAAATAAATGCCGAGGATATTGGAGCTCCATCTAGATCCATTGCGCTCTACAAATCACTTCCTACATTATGAAGCGTTCCATATTTGCCACCTCGTACTAAATATCTATACACCTTACTCGGAGAGTCCGATTACGCATTCCTGATGACACAAGGTTTAGTTATTTTCTTAATACTGCGTATCTATTAACAGACGAGAATTGTGTTGGTGGAAAAATAGGTCAAGTTACATGTATGATAACTAGGATTTTTTTATCTATTTGGCTATATCTAATGTTCAATGTATTGCATTTCGTGTTCCATTCCCTGTGATCGTCATTATTGTCAGCTGACTAGACTGTCTTAAACAACGAAGGCATGTAACCAGAATCCGGAACATAGGGTTTATATGGATATTGTAACAAAGGCGAGTGAAATCGGAGACATGTAGACGTTTTCGTCAGCTATATGGTGCACAGCTGTAAACTAGGAGCTGTGTGATAGCAATGTTAAATATGTAGGAAAGTTGTCATGGAATTCTTATTTTGCAAAAGATCCATATTGTTATGATCAGAAGTGACGAACATGGATAAATATGACGTGTGCCAACCACAAATGTAAACGCGTATTGATGGTGTGTGCATCGTGTGACGATTTATATGTCTGTGAGACTTGTATAGAGCAAGATCATCGTGGTCACCATTTGAACACTTTACACACCACGGCAGATCAGCATATTGATAGGTTAAAGAAAGAGGAAAATAGGGTTACATCGAATATGCGTCAGCTGCAAGAAGATCTTCAGACCTGTATTGCGACACAAAAATATGAGAAGGAAGCGGCAGTGCGGTTTCAACAACAGCTCAACAGACAGCTGGACGAGAAACGCAAGGAAATTTTGGAAGAACATGACCGTAAGAAAAAACATTACGAGGATCAGATGAATAAACGACTTGAAGAACTGAAAACACGCGAAAGTCAACTTCGAGAAAACATTAAACTGGATAGAGAATTTTGTGACCAATTGACAAAATTGAAGAAAAAAAGGGATCCGTTGAAGACATTAGAACTTATTAAAAGGATATCTGTAACTAACGTGACAGAATTAGAATATCCAGGGGAGATAAATACTGCTTGTAAAACTCCAATCTCAAATGACCTGGTATTATATTCGTACAGAAATAATATTTCAAAGACAGAACGAGATTCACTAACAGAGCAAGCGGCCGAGGCTGAAGAAAACTATGGAAGTTATATGGATGACAGTATTCGTACTGAAATGTTGTTTGCAGAGATATCCGATTTAAAGAGACGTAGTGTCCATGAAGAAATCGACGACGGAAGTGAACGAACATCTATGTCGTTTGCAGAAGAAAATACACCTCATGAACGTGAAAACGTCGCTAAAAGCACTGATCAAGGTAATAAGGCTCTTATCCCAAAGGAAGAGAAGGCCGCTGACCTCTTTGAAACCACGTTAGCACTTTTTCGTTCTTTTAAAGTTGATTCGGGGCCGATTTTTGTTCATCCAGAAGTTGACTACAAGTGTTGGATGAAAACATCTAACAATCGGAAACAGTTGAAACTTTTTGATTGTAATGGCTTTTTGAAAAGCGCTGTACCTTTTGAGAACAATGTATCGGGCTTCACCATGTTACATGATGACCATCTGCTGGTGTGCAGTCCCCACGAAAAGTGCATCAAAGAAATAAAGCCACCAAAGTATCACGAGACTACGACGTTCAGCACGGCACCACTAAGACCAAATGTCATCCAGGTGGAAATCTGATTATTTCCCTTACCAATAAATCATACAACACCATTACCATAGGGAGGTCTTTGGTTATGAAATGCAGTACAATTGGGAGAGAGATAAGTCTGGCGGAGAAGGAAGAAAATGGCGATGACTTGTTCTGTGTCCCAGAGCAAGTTAGTGTAAACAGGAAAGGGAGTGCTGTAGCTGTAATTAATCACACTTCAAAATCTTGCAGTCATCTCGTACTGTTGGACGATCGGTTGGTACTCAATAGAAGGTATATGGACGGCGAGGTAATCCTTGCCTGTCAACAGATTAAACACGTACCGGATCGTTTTCGCATTTGTGATGTAAAATTTGATTTCAATGATAATATACTTATCTGTGAATACTTTGCAAGGCGTGTTCAGCTGCTGGATTCATCGTGTTGTCCACTGAAGGATCTAGTTCAGGGACAGGGAATACCCATATCGCTTGGAGTACACCCCAATGGAGACCTGTATGTAGGCTTCGACAACGGAATGCTACACGTGTACAGAAGGGCACCCAAAAAGGAGGAAAGCCTATTCTAGTATATCATAGGCAGAATTAGTAAAATGGTTTTGATTTTCAGATAACCATTCAAGTCAGCTTTATCGATGTTTTGATAAAGGATTCGATGTTTAAGTGTATTTAGATAGTTCGAGAACTGATGATCACGAATGAGATGTACAGAAATATAGACTTGAATGTATGTGATGTAACCTGCTTAGAATAATCAAGAAAATAAGTCCAACTCCATATTAAGATCAGAATGCGTCATATATACCATAACCTCCAAATACTCAAAAAGTCGCCTGTCTGAATATATGTGTTTTAAGTCTATGAAAGTATGACATATAGCGTCGAAATGGTGATGCAGGCAACAAGCAAATCTCAAATCAACAGAAAAGGGTACCATGAAGGTGAATAACATCACTGGAGAAGTGCACACGAGGCACTTGAAATAGCTAGGTGTAGTCTTTCGTTACAATTCCTAAGGCAAAATAAATCCTATCAATAAATTTGGTATTTAGTCATATTAAATGATCTGTAAAAATATTCAAAAATGGAGAGTTTGGGAGAGGAAAGAATAATGTTTAGACATATTACATACATGTACTTATTGAGACTATGACAATTGGATTCTATTTCACTCAGACCAATACGTAATGCATATATCATTGTTATGCACGGATTGTTACTCGTACGTGCATTCATAAATCTTTTTGTATAATATGATGGAGATTACAAAGACTTCAAACATTTTAATCTTAAATTTTTTTTTGTTTTGTTTTGTTTTGTTTTTGTTTTTTTTTTGTTTTGTTTTGTTTTGTTTTTGTTTTAATGTACTTATGTAAATAAGTTGTGATTTTCATAATAATTCTGTAATTACGGTGTTGTAGGCTCTGACTTTGGTAAACTACACATTGCTACAGTAAAAACAATCCACAGTACACAGCACACCATCTTAGTATATAAGTTTTATTATCCTAGTTTAGATGCCAGCTATGCTATGCTCTGGACACGATTTTTAACAAAGGGCAATAATATTCTTGGTATACTAATGATAATAATAACCATTAACAAAAACAAAATCTTTAAAAAATGCCATTAAATACTGTTTTTATTCTCTTTGTTTACAGAATAATGCTTCTATAAGTTGTCAAACAGAGGTCCCTTTAATAGTCAGAAATAACCTCTGAGGGAAGGAATACAACAAAATGTGGTATACAAAGTTCAAGGACAAACTTTTTTTCATAACACAAGGAATCTGTACATCAAACTACTTACAAACCTGCGCCTGTCATGAAAAGCACTTTGCACATGATACCATGTCTGTACAGAAAATTATGAACCCTTCCAGGAAAGCAAAACCAACAGGCAACATACTTTGTCACTTCTGAATTCTTTTAATTGATTGATTCTAAATGTACTAAAACAAGGCTCCAAGACCCGTGGCAGAGGCAAACGTGGTGATACTTTCTGCAGCTTGTTTGGTTTCCACGAGAAGCTTGCCTTCCCTTATCCAATCAGATGCCAGCTCTCGTGGCAGACCTTCAAGCTGATTCATGAATCGCACAGCCATTTCCATGTTTCCTTGCTTCAGCCAGAATTGTGCATGATCTACTATTTTAAATGTGTTTAAGTCTTTTGGATCAACGATAGCCGTCTCCGTTTTTAGATTCACATCCGAAAAGATAAAAAACGATTGGACGTAGGAAAGGAAGTAAGTGAACAATGAGCTTTTCGACTCTTTGATGAGAGCAACTCTCCGACACCTCTTCCTTACATCTCTAAACCTAGCTATGAGGTTATCCTCTGTCCAGACACCACGAGTCAATGCATCCTCAGGAATTGTGTTTATCACTGTGGCAACAAATGGGTGGTGACCTGATGCTTCCGCAATGGCCATGACCTTTTGATCAAGGGGCACGACTTTTTCTTCCCATGACTGCCCATCTTTGTTACCAACACGTATGAGACCATTGAGGGCTAGACATGCAAGCCACAACTTCTTGGCCTGTTGTGCAACTTTCCCCTTCTCAGCCTGGGCTGTAAGTATAACCATCACAGACTTACAGCAAGGTTTACACAGACAATGTAAACTTAACTTAATCAGCAATAGAATGCATATATGATATAAAATGACAGTTTAAGGCACATTTTATAATCTGCCACCATCCCAATCTAGTTTACATTTTAATTGGTCCTATAATGAACTTTCAAAACACTTTGTGACTGCAACCAATTTCAAATATTAGAGAAGATGGGTTGTGTATACAGTTTATAACCATCAAAGGTTTAAAGATTAGTAGTGTTGGCTCTTTCCATCATATCCATGGTTATATGCCATGCATTGCCGCTCATCAAAAACCTGCCACAGCTGCCTCACTGCCATTCATTCACTTCACCTCCAATTGCTTGCATGCCCTCACACATCAAACTGCTCACCTCCTTACCTGCCACAGCTGCCTCACTGCCATTCATTCTGTTCACCTCCAATTGCTTGCATGCCCTCACACATCATACTGCTCACCTCCTTACCTGCCACAGCTGCCTCACTGCCATTCATTCACTTCACCTCCAATTGCTTGCATGCCCTCACACATCAAACTGCTCACCTCCTTACCTGCCACAGCTCCCTCGCTTCCATTCATTCTGTTCACCTCCAATTGCTTGCATGCCCTCACACATCAAACTGCTCCCATTTTTAACTACCACAGCTGCCTCAATGCCATTCATTCTGTTCTCAAACTCCAAATTGCTTGCATGCCCTAACCCATCAATTTGCTCACAGCCTTACCTGCCACAGCTGCCTCAATGCCATTCAATCTGCCCTCAAATCCAGCAACCTGTGTTTTATAGCCCTCACACATCATACTGCTCACCTCCTTACCTGCCACCTAAATTCACTTCTTCTAAAATCTTGTCATCAAACTGCTCACCTCCTTACCTGAAGTTGTCCTTCAAACTTATTGCTTGCATGCCCTCACACACAGTTCAATCTCTTGGTCAATCAACTTCTTTTCTAAATTATCAACATGCGCTGCTGCCTGCATCGCCAGCATGTGTCGAAGTTCTTTTTCGTACTCTTCACGTGCCTCAGATGCCTGTCAAACAAAATAGATCACAAATTACATCCAAACAACCTTGTATCAAAGCCAATAAAACAGACTAGCCCCAGATCCTGTACATAACTTTACTAAACAACACTAGACTCACTGAGTGTTCGGTTTTTTTTTTTTAAAAGTGGTTTTGTTTCAGTATTCGATCAAAACTATATATAATTTGAGACAGATTTATTATTACTTACATCCTACAACACTGCTCTCTACTACTGTTAAAAGTGACAACTAACTGGATTTTGAATTTTATTCCTGTGCAATGCTTGTTATGAACAGTCATGCTGAAATACTGGCAAAACCAGTCAGTTTTCTTTGCATTTAAAACTAAATTACGGGGAAATACTTATGAGTAACTTCTTTCCTTTGGACAATACTTTTGCATGCCATTGATAGCAGCTTGCGAACAATATCTCAATCATGGGCACTTGTTAACCAGTTATTTCATGTTTTAAATGATTAACACATCCCATTCTTGAATCCTACGGAGTTGCTGCATTGATCACATGAGGTAATTCAGGTTATCACATCTGATGGCAGCTACCATAGCATTTTAATTGCCACTAATTTGATTTGAATGCCAACACTTGCATTACATGGTATCAAGATACATGAAGAATATTTAACAGCATGGTGTTATCAGTCTACAAGGCTGCTGAACTCTGGCAGCCAGACCAAATTTTTACAGCCTAGGACTGCCAGCTTACACTTAGTGTGTACAGTGTAAGAAAGCTTGTTGTAACTGATCCAGTTCTCAACAATATGAGTGTACAGTATTAGAAAGCCCAGTGTTATGGACTCACTTTTCTACATTATAAGTGTACAGTGTCGGCAATCTGCTGTTACTGACCTAGTTTTCTACATTACGAGTGGACAGTTTAAGAAAGAATGCTGTTACTGACCCAATTTTCCTTCTCCAAAGCATACTGTTCTTGCATCTTCTCCAAAGCGTTCCTAATTGTCAGGTTAGCTACTTGGTCATCTTCACGTTTCTGCTGTTCTAGAGCTGCTTCAAAACGTTGTTTCTCCATAGCGATCTGCTCTGCCAGCTGTAGTTGTAGCTGTTCTATCCTCCCATGGGCATGTCCAATAAGAACATTTAGGTCCTCTTCACTAAGGGTGTTACCTATAAGAAGACAACTTCAATCATTCACATGTTGTTCTTTTGGCAATACATAAATATAAAACAGTGCTGCTTTGTTTCACATAAGAAGACCATCCCTTGACTTTGAGTAAGAAGTCCTGTACTGGTTCCCTCAAATTATAGCATGATAAATACAGTACTGCCACACTGATTTCAAAACCCAATTAAACTTACATAAGGATAAACTAATTAACTAATGAAGCTATACACCTTGAATTATATGACAGAAACAAATTTACACAGGTATGGTAATAATCTAAGTAAGATTTTTACAACAACGTCCCAGTAAGGTTAAAAGTTATGACAGAACATGTAGATAGTTTCAAGTACATTATGATCTTAATACAATGTCAACTTATAACCCAACAAAATTATATCATTCATAACAGCTATGGATGTCATAACCAATATGCTACTACCTGTCGTCACAGATAGAGACAGATGTTGAACAGACACTGAAAACTTTGCCTCAAAAGTAATTAATCAATAATGATATTGAGATATCACTACATTATTATACCTTTGCCTGTTCCCAGTTTTTTATCCGGCATCAGGCTTTGAAGCTCTCTCTGAAACTGCATTTTCCCCTTCTCGATAAGTTCCGTAAATTGTTCTGTTGTTTTATACTCCGATTCACATTTCTGTATCTGAAAGCAGAATGGCATGTTGATGATATTAGAAATGGAATTGTTAAGCATGGATGTCCTTATCTAATGCTAGAATTGATCCTGGAGAAGTTAAAAAGGTCAACGTCAAATAAGTAATTGTAAAAAATGCCAAGTAACAGACCACCCTACGATCTAGTTTAAACTTCCTAGATACCACTATCTACATACTACTGAATGGCAGCCTAGGGAGCGAGTTGTTCAACAAACCAACTAACCCATTATCATTCCTACATCATTGAAGTTACCACCCCATACACCAGAAGGAAAGCATACCATATTCCCAAACCGTAAGAATAAGGAAAATGTATAGCAACCCAACACATTTTGAACAATATTTTTATCAGTTGTATTACTGATGATGGATTAGTGTATTAGTATAAGGATAGGCAGATTACAGCATAGATACAGCAATATAGGAATAACATAAAAGTATGTATATTAACACAGTAGCTATCTCATATATGGCATAGTCATTTACGGCAGGATGTCACTAGAGTAATTATTTATAGTAACAAATAGTAACTATTTATAGAAATGTTTTGCCTACAATTTTTATACTTTGTAATATAGCAATTGATGTAGATTCATCCTGATGAAGCTGGATAAGGGTGAAACATGTCGAAGATCATAATAAATTGAAGAAACATACTCTGAAGTTGTTGTGGTTGTAAATCTTGTATAAATTTAGAGTCAAGCCAAACAATGAAGTAAACTGCGCCTAACAGGTGGCTTGTTCTTCTAGGACTCATCAGTGATGGGCCTTAATTTTGAAGCCTTGGAGGCGACCTTGGAAAATCCAAAGTGATCAAAAGAAATATTAAAATCTAGATGGGGAGGTGCACTAGTCCCATTATTATATAAATTTTGTAAATTTCATAAATGTGATAATTTAAGAACAATGTAAATTACATGTGTATATTCCAAACTGTGCCACTATCTGAACGAATTAAAACATGGCATGCTGTTATGGGAACTAAGAAGTCCTACCGTTTCAATCATCTGCTCCATCTTACTAGTGAGGGTGTTGAGATGATCCTCAGCTTTTCCTACTGCTTTGCTGGCCTTCGCCTCACCACTCTCTTTCACTTCCTGGATGACAGAATTCAGTTTGTCCAGCTCTTCCCTTCAATAACAGGTTGAATGTGTTATTAACGGTCAAATGTATTATATCATCATGAGAAATGACTCATTTCTAAAGAGTTCCAGTTCCCACTTAAAAGATCCTTTTCCAGGCAGCTGGGGAGGACTATCTTACCAACATCATACATACTAATGAATTAAATGTCCACTTGAGGTAGAGCATCTCATAAACATAAAACATTTACTTCATAGATGAATTAAGCTGTACACAGTTTTACAATGTAGTTGAGAAGTTTACCTGGCTTTGTTGACAACCCCCTCAGATACACTGGCCATCTGTTTCCAAGCTTGGGAGGCCTCCACCACACTTTGCCAATGGCCATCCTTGTCCTCTATCTGAAGACACACAAACATTATAAGTAACTTCCATCATCAATTTTCAGTAAGTAATAGATGACTGATAAAATATAATTGTTCTCTTCATAGCATTTTTCTCATTTCAAAAGATTAATTGATCATGATAACTTAACCAAGCACATTTCTTCATTCTACAGCTCAGTTCTAGATGTTATATTGTGGTTCTATAGAACATTCTGTTAAACTCTAGTAATAAAAGACACATTCTGTATCCATGGTTACACCTGACAGTCAGTTTTTTAAAGAAATTATCTGATATAGACATTTTAGTGCACATCAAAGACTCATCAAAGTCTGAATAAAATGGTTATCAGAACATATTTTGTCAACTCAAAAGACTTTTTCCAATGTTTAAACTTTTCTCGGTTGACCAGAAATTATAAATGTACTTATTTTGTTGCATTTAAATTTTAGAGTAATTTTTAACAATGAGGAAAATCCTACATTCTCAAAAACTGCTATTAGCACAATCCTATGTAAGCATAACATCTTTAGCAACAACAGCACTTAAATAAGATCTGCACTGAAATATATACATTTAGAATAGGTGATCATTTTCAACATATACATCATCATTATTTTGTGCAATATTATTCTATCGATGAAAAGAGTGAAACAACATGCTGTTACATGACAAAGAAATCTACTTACAGGTGATTTATCATCCAGTGCCTTTTTTAGACTTTGTGTATGTGCCTTGATCTTCTCCAGCACCTGACTCTGTGTGTCTAAAGCCTCCATCACATATCTGTTGGCCTCTTCCACAGGACCATCTAGCTTCTTTATCAAAGCTGCTAATTTTGATAAAAATTCACACTAAGAATTATGTAGGTGTTTTGATTTTTGCCTTTAAACATGGTTTTGTTATAGAGTACCAGTCCTTGAAAAAGATTAGAAAATCCAAAGCAAATAACATTAACAGTTTCTATTTGTTTTTTACTTTTCACTTGATTATTGAAATTTACCAGCGATAGTCTTACTATCCATTTGATTTTTGATTTTTATCACATTCTACATCTTTACCAATCACAAATAAGTTTCATGGTTATATCTAATTTTTTATTATAACAAAGGGATGTAATGAACTATATATTATTCATAGATGATGTCAAATTGTAACTAATTTGAAATTGATAAGATATAAGTCAATTAAATTATTCAAATTTGTGTTCAGTTAGACATATGTCACATGTTTCAACATAATGTATCTGCCGGAATTAATTTATCACTGACATCTACTGTGAACAATTATGTATTGACTAGTGGCCAGAGGTATTCTGTCGTTACTGATCTACTACACATGCTCATGTATTAATTTGTTCCCTGGTTATATAAGTCATTACCCGAGGCCTTTCTGAAGGTCAGTGTAACTTTATCTGGTTGTAAACAGCAAAATCTATTGTAATTTATGTGGAAGACCATGTCACTAACTCATATATTATTCAATCCTTGTTAACCTGTTAGCTAATGTGTAATATTACTTTATCAGTTTATTAACAATTTTAGTATAAATATGACCACATTTCAAGCAAGAATGAATCGGTTCCTGAAGGCATGTGAGTGTTCCATCTCTAAATAGCCTACATCTCAATAAACCTACAACACCCGAACAGTGTTTGGACTTCTTCATCTCCACTCATCACCACACAAAAAAAAATTCATTTTATTAAGTGTGATTGTTAGAGGGTTAATTTCTGTCTTATACTTCAGTGTGATTGTTAGGAAGTTAATTTCTGTCTTATACTTAAGTGTGATTGTTAGGAAGTTAATTTCTGTCTTATACTTAAGTGTGATTGTTAGGAAGTTAATTTCTGTCTTATACTTAAGTGTGATTGTTAGAGGGTTAATTTCTGTCTTATACTTCAGTGTGATTGTTAGAGGGTTAATTTCTGTCTTATAATTCAGTGTGATTATTAGGAAGTTAATTTCTGTCTTATACTTAAGTGTGATTGTTAGGAAGTCAATTTCTGTCTAATACTTAAGTGTGATTGTTAGGAAGTTAATTTCTGTCTTATACTTAAATGTGATTGTTAGGAAGTTTAAAATTAATTTCTGTCTTATACTTAAGTGTGATTGTTAGGAAGTCAATTTCTGTCTTATACTTAAGTGTGATTGTTAGGAAGTTAATTTCTGTCTTATACTTAAATGTGATTGTTAGGAAGTCAATTTCTGTCTTATACTTAAGTGTGATTGTTAGGAAGTTTCAGCCAATGACTCAATAAGACATTAGAAAGATAGTAGTTAGACTAAATGGGGACAATATCCTGTGGCAAAGCTTTCAACATCTCTTAATGACAATTTCCTGTCAACTGTCGGATTTAAAAACGCCAGAGACACAAGACGTCGATAATTAATCATTTTGTGGCAAAGTCTACATGTAATACACTTTCTGACCAAACAGTTGTGAAATTTTGTTTATTCTATACAATTTGCTTATCTTACACAATAAAGACACAATGTTTTGGAATTTTGTGTCAATTTTGTGTGAAAATCAAGGAGAGTTCAATAAAATAGGGAGAGTTGACATAGTTACCATGTACTGACAAGCTGCACACCCATTTTTCTGAATTCATGTGGACCTTTTATAATGCTTCATCAACAAGTTCACTTACTAAAATATGCTTTTTTAAAAGAGCAAACATGACATCACCACAGAGGATGAGATTGGTGATAAGTCATCCTTAGCTGCTAAATGAACAATAACTTTGTAAAAAGAATAGAAAATACCTGTGATGCCTGCTGCCTTTTCCGCTAGTTTCTTTTCTTCTTCAAGTCTCGTTCTTTCTCTTTCTCTTTCTTCGGTTTGTTGCTTGGCTTCTCGCAACTGTTCTTGTTCTAACTTCAACAACTGTTCTTCCAACTTCTTTCTCTCTTTCTCTTCTTTTTCCTGTTTCTTTTTTGCAGCTAGTTCAATATCAGCCGAGCTTTTCTTTTCTGTGACTGTGATTTCTGTTTATTTTGAAAATAACCAAATAATTGCTCGTCTACATGGGTTTCCTTAAACACTGCAGATGACATAATCAAGAAAAAGACATCCACATTTACAGATCTTTTTTCCTTTTTTGTAAGGCAACATATCAAGATTCACCAGTTGATTTATAATAAATGGTTGCAGAAAAAAAATGATAAAAAAACACAATTCTAACTGAAATTGCATTTCTCACTTTAATCCAGATCTATGCAAAATTGGTCAGATCTGACTAGTCTGTAATGAACACATTTCATACAACATCAAAACTTGGTTAGGGATGATTTATGTAAGTTTATATCATTATTATGACACAGTTAAACTTATTAAAGTGTAAGAAAAGACACATTAACATGACAAAAAGACAGTAATTAATGTCTGTCCTTTATGGACAGTGTTAAAATAGACACATTAACTAGACAAAAAGACAGTAATTAATGTCTGTCCTTTATGGAAAGTGTTAAAATAGACACATTAACTAGACAAAAAGACAGTAATTAATGTCTGTCCTTTATGGAAAGTGTTAAAATAGACACATTAACTAGACAAAAAGACAGTAATTAAAGTCTGTCCTTTATGGAAAGTGTTAAAATAGACACATTAACTAGACAAAAAGACAGTAATTAATATCTGTCCTTTATGGACAGTGTTAAAATAGACACATTAACCAGAAAGCATAATAGAAATTAATTACCTTCTTCAGAAAGCATACAAACTTGACACTAGATCAAATATCTATTACTGTCTATGATTTTTTAATTTTTTCACTAAAGCATGTGACCAATTATTCAAGTGAAGTGACTAGTACTTGAGAAAATATATTACCTGGTGCTGGTGTTTTTATTTCATTCTTTGGAGTCTTTCTAGTTACTTCATCCCCCTGGACTTTTGTTGTCATTTCATCCTTCTGGACCTTAATTCAAATAGATAACCATCACAATTAAACAAATTCAGACCAACAGATCACAGCAACAACACTGATCAATTATCTACATTGCATCAGATCAACAGTTGCAATTAGTAGTTAGCTCCCTTTGACTTAGAAAAGGCCATATTGGGACTGTGTGTCATCACAATGTCTGCACATCAGAGTAATATGTGTAAATTCTTTGTTTTCATGGAACCTCATAAGCCTGTAAGTAAATGCCCACAATTTTCTTTAACGTTAATGTGATTCACATTTTCTTCTGGGAAGTGTTCAATTCATCATGATTATTCGTATTTTAAGCATCAATCTAAAATATTTAACACCATCGCAATAAAATGTGTATTAAAGCTAGATCTTCCATATGTATACCAACAAGAGCTGAATACTTACTGGTTCCACAGGCTTTTTTTTTGTGATGGATGGTGGCCATATCTCCGCGACAGTTTCACTGTTTGAAATACAACTAATAAATAGTTTTGAATTTTTCTATGTTTAGAGACCCTTATTATTGATAAGTTGACTGAAAGTAAATGAGAAATAGACCTACATATTCCCTCTGATTAATGTCATTATTGATTCTACAACTACATACCCAGTTCCATATCTCCATCTTTAATAGTGTAAATGAGTAGAAACCAAATTTCGACAAATGAGAGACAGTGACAGAGAGATGGAATGAAAATCGATAAGACTTGTTTCAAGCTGTGCTTTCATATTGACCAATCCATCAGTTACCAAATTCTATCCTTTTCTTGTCAGAATATTACATGCCCTGTCCAATACTGGTGTTTACCTACCTTGGACTGGAGGTCAAGTTCAACTTTTCCTTGGCCCAATCTAAAATGGATGGGTCGTACCAGTAGACACCAGCTCCAGCCCCAGTCAACAAGACAATTCCGCCCAGTAAAGCAGGGACACGGCTAAAACAGAAAATTACGTCAAATGTATCAAAGAATAAAGCCAATCTAGATGATTGAACAGCTGTATCTATATTCTAATGTGTGAATGAAATCCTCTTTTGTATGGCCCTGGTGTGATGCCGATGTGTAATGTAGGAAAAATATAATACATAGCAATTATCAAAAAGATATGCCAGTCACACCCACCTCAGTAACTTCACTGTAACAGGAAATATTACTTTAAAGCTACGCAGGTATCTTTAAAGATGCTATTTCAGTATTCAAATGTAAGTCCAGGAACTTGTGACCTGACACTCAACCATAGTTCCATAGTATAAATTAGTAAATATTAGGTTTTATGAAGAACCCATATTATATATTAACACTGTTGCTTGTATCATTGTGGCAAATTTGACAGGAATTTAATTAACAATTTAACATTGCCCATATTTGGCAATACAATGGGCACAACTCTGAAAATATGGGGTCACATGAAGAACACCTCATATTTGTCAAATTCCTTCACTTCTTGTATGACCATATCAAATCTGAAAGGGGTTACTTTAACATACAAACAAAGAGTTCTTGCCTTTTCTATACAATGCCCATATTTGCTAATAAAAGGGGCATAAGTTTCCTAAAAATAATCACAAAATTCTCTAATGTGAACTTGTTTGAGCCACTTTGGAATGAAATTTTTGCAGCAAGTATCATTAACATCAGTCTATAGATAAATGTAAGAGAGCACTAGCAGTGAAAATATTTACTAGCTTTTAACGTTTTGTAGAACCATGACGTGAAAGATGAAAAATATGCATACATCAGCTGTCTTTGTACTGATTATAGCTATAGGCTATCACTGACTTTGTAATCACTTCACTTGGCATATAGCATATATATAGATATAGCATCACTTGAAAATACATCATATATACTTGAAACATTTTCATTTTATACACCTAATTAGATAGTCTTGTCCTATACATCTCATGTCATAGGTACAGGACTTCCATAAGTAGTTCACTACCAAATCAATATATATTACAGTATTGAATGACTATGAGTATGTGGTAATGTTTACCTCGATTTTGATGTTGGTGGTTGTGGTGGGGGGACATTAGCCTTTGGTTTTTGACTAGCACTGGGCGTCCCTTTGCCTGGAGCTGATGGCTTGGTGGCCAGTCTGCGTCCACCAGGCCTTAATCCAACACACTGTCAATTAAAATCAAATATGAAGACATGCTACATGTTTTTTTTTTTTGCAGAGGCTGTTTGATCTATTGTACACTTCAGTACAAAACATGTCACAAACAATTTTAGAAACACACTACATGTTGTTGACCACTGAACAACTATCACCCAATAATACCCAGAGATACATTTTATACTCCTTTTGCCTAATGGTCTATACATATTTTTCTTTGTAAAGTAATATATAGAGACAGATCCTCATTATCTATTCATTAACATAACAAATTTTCAGGTCATTTTTTGAAAATGTTTGCCAATACACAAGCAGATGTGTTTTTTGGGGGAGGGCTAAATTGGGTTCTTTGTTGTGATTTCCAATGTGACGATAAAAGAGCAAATGAAACATGTGATTTATCAACAGTCAATTAACAATGTTTGTGTGACAGAAGTAATAACATTTCAATCAACACATTTTTGTAATATATATCTTATAATGTCATATAATTTGAATGGGTTCAACAATATTTATACACTTTTGTTTGGATTGACTAAAGGTTTACCGTACATGTACATTGTTGTACATATAGTGCTTAAAGTCTAATTACAAATCAGTTATAAGTTAGTCTTTCATTCTCCACTATAAGAATGTACATTAGCATTGTAAATAGTGCAAGGTGTGCTGTGAGAGTATGAATTGTCCATATTGTACACATGTTGTAACTGATAAGTCAAAAGACCGAAAGCAATAAAAGAAATAATTGAAACTTGCTACTTCAACCTCACAACTTATTCTTTAAGATACCATTAAGACAATGACTAACTCTAGTAAGAATAAACATATTATTCATAGAAATCCTGGGTTAATTCTAGACTTGGGCATTATTGTTTTCTCAGCCAAAAAATGGCAGGATAGTAAAAAAAAAAAACAAAGGGCTTCCAGAATTAATGCAGGGTGCAATGAAATTTTCAAAGTTAGGGCAGGGTTCCACACCTCTTTGGTCAATTTAAGTTGAAACACTGCCTTGAAATTACTAGGGATTTATGTCCATAGGTAAAAACTGCTTTTTTACTCATTCAAATTCACTATCTCCAGTCTGTCAACTGTATAACAACAGCCCTAGTTGCATCACTTGAGAAGATTTTAAGAGCATAGTTTTAAGGAATAGCTCTTTTAAGACCAGGCTTAAGGAATTAAGATCAGGGACTTCACATGGTTATCTCCCTTCCCATATGTGTTGCCTTTACCTTTAGATAGTCTAAGAACTGAAAGCAGAACATAATGGAGAGGAAATTTCAAAACCAGTAGAAACACTGAGTCAGTTTGGTACATAAAGATATAACTTGATTATCTGAAGTTTAAGTATCAGTTTTCAACTTACCGTATTTATTCCAATAAACGCCCTGGGGTGTGAAATTTTTCAGATGGGGCGATTAATAGAACACAAAATTTCATAATTTGTTGGTCATGATAAGCCATGGCTGCTACTTAAAAACATTGTTTAACAAACTAACAAATTACTCAGCAAAGAATGCATTTGAAAATTGCAGTAATTCCAACATCATCGCTTGTAGGCCTAGTTTGCATAACAAAATAAAAAAACACAGCGGTATATAAGCCAGTCTGTTTCTAAATAAATTCCACATACCTGATAACAATGTCTGGGACAAAACGAAATTACAACACTGCTTTCAAGCTTAAAGTAATCGCCTTCGCAGAGGAGAAGGGTAAACATGCCGCCGCAAAAGTGTTTCGTATTGACAGAAAACGAGTGCGGGACTGGTGTCAAAACAAAGAAAAATTTAAAAATCTTTCTAAAACATCTAAATGCTGTAAAGGAGGTGGGAGGCATGTCAGATATGAAGATATTGACAAAAATCTGATGAGATGGCTACAGGACAGACGGGACATGTAAGCTACAGCCAGCCAATGTGTCGTGGAATAAACCCTTCAAAAAAAACTTGGAGAGTTGTATGACGAATGGTGTTTCAGTGGCCCCATTGAGAAAACAAAAGCAGGGAATCGTAAAGCCCCATCTAAAGCTGTAATGTTGTCTTGGGTCAAGACAGTATGGAGTTTAGTGAAAAGGATGTCCAAGCTGCAGATGACGTTTTGCAAAATTTAATGGGTGATGTGAACGCGCCTTCTATTCCACAAATAGAACTGAGTGAAAGCGAGACGGGCGAAGTGAAAGTGAAGACAGTAGTTCGTACGGCAGTCCCGGCCGTTAGGCCTGCAGTATATTGAAATGAACCGTGGATTAAATTGATATTACTTGTGTACATGTCGTGACAGTGTAATTTTCTTGTGCCAAAATTCATTTGTTAATGTTCATGGATACCGGGAATTTAAAATTTATTAAAAGGTAAGCTTGGTAAGCTTTGTAACCTGACTCCTGAGTTGTTGAAATTTACTGAGAAAACAGATGGGGGGGGTTATTTTGTATAAAGTTAAGGCAGCAGGTAACCAACCAAAATGCAGAACTGTATATCCTATCTTATTCGTACGAAAGAAAGAAAAGTGAATTGTAATTGCTCCTCCAGTTCACAGGCCAGATCTTTGCATAGCTAAAGTAATTAAATCCATAATGGCATATACATGTATAATCTGTTCAAATGGAAATTATTCTTTAGATTAATTAAAAATACATTCTTGTATCACCGAATAGATTATTTTCATTAAAAGCAGCAAAACATTTGTTTCATACTATAACAATGTTTGCGGTATATTCATATAAGGGTGGCAACTCTAACAGAAAAACCCTCTGCCTCTGTGACACGAACTAGCGACCCCTAAGGTCTCTAGCCAGACGCTCTATCGTTCAACTAAAGGGAAAAAGTCCACTGAGACCAGTAAAGTGACCTGTACATGCAGTTTCTACAGTACTTAGGTACTAACTAATTGGTTCGTTTATGCCTTCTTTCAGCCGGTTCAGACATTAAACATAAATAACTAAGCAAATGCCGATCCATGTGTCTTGTTCCAGTGTTCAAGGACACGTCCAACAAATCCAATACTACCGATACAAGTTAGTTTTCATTGATAATCGATTTGAAAACAAGAAACCTACTCGTATGCCAGAATGCACGTGTGTTGTTGCTCTCCACATCTCAAAGATTCAGCAAGCTTTCACACTTCGCCGGCTAACTCATCGGTCACCTGCCGACCCAGGTCTCTTTCTTTTTGAGCGGATATTCCCTTGTTATTCTACTATCATATTATAAAACCGAATCAAGTCAATATTTCCGGACAAGGTGTAAATATCAAATGTTTAAGCTAAATTAAAGACCTTATTGCCTGCATTTCAAAATTATCTTGATAATATCTCTGTATTGTTTTAATTGACAGATTTATTGAAAATAGATTCAATCTTGGAGTTGTAAACAAAAGTATTTCCGGAAATATCATAGTATGTAAAGATACGATTTCGGCTTTACAATATCCTGCAATCATCCAAGATGGCTGCGCCCTTGAAACAGTGTTTGAACGGTAAGACATTTTTCACAGTAACACTATTTGTAAATTTACCGCTTTAATAAAGGAGAGTGAACATTTAAAAATAACTCATTACCTAACTCTGATTTTACTTTAAAATCCATACAATTTTCGTAAATTTGACCATTTATTATGAAACAGGAGTGAGCCATCTCGCGACAATATTTGGTCATCTAGCAGTGAAGCCACGGCAGATGGCACCAATCAACAGGGCAGTTACATACTGTGTGAACCGGAAACAGTTCAGTGTCCTAACCACTGTTAGAGCCACATTAAATCAACACGCCATAAAACAAACACAACAACCGACGTCTTATAACGGGTAATGTTTCACTGTCTACATAGTAATTAGTACATAATAAATTCATTTATAATCAAGAATTAGTTGCAATACAAGAAAATGAAAGTAACTCATTTAATATTTGTAAAGCAGTGCCTGTAAAGAAGGAAGCTTACCTGTAACAAAAAACATTTTCCATCGAAAGTATCCAGAAAATAAAACAACAACGAATTTCGGTTAACTAGTTAGTGTTACAAGAAATGGAAGACAATTTGACATGTTACAAAGAGTTATGCATTGCATAATTATTGTGATGTTGAAGTTTTGTTTGCTTGTGTATACCAGGTATGTTGTGATGTCATGATGTTGGTTGATGTCATACCAGGTATGTTGTGATGTCATGATGTTGGTTGATGTTATACGCTAGGTACTTGGAGGTATAAAGGAATTTCAATTCATGACAATTTCATTTGTGTCAAATCATCTTTATGATAAGTATTGAGTAATTATTAAAAAATAGTTAGTCAAACCATGATTATGTCATATACGTCCATGTCAAACAAATTCAGGAAAGTGAAAATGCTGTCACAGTATTTTTTATAACATTAGCTACAGGTGAAGTGCAGAGCGCCTCTGCTTCAAATCATTCTTTTCCGGATGCTCCATGCCTTTCACTTCCAGAAGAATTTTTCTCAGATGGATTGATTCCTGGGACCTCTCATCATAGAGCTGAATGAAACATTGTCTTTCTCGTTATTTGTATAGTGTTTTACTCTTAGTATGCTCCCAGAAAATTTCAGAGAACCATAAAGTTGCCACATGGTTCATCAATCATTTCTGTCCAGAGCATAATTTCATCTACAGTTAAGCATGGATCATAAAACTTTTGTATACATTGGTCATACTAAGAGTATGTGCATTGTTCCATCTCTAGGGCCTGCAACCCCTTAATTACAGAGTTATTGCCTTCTAAACAGAAAAAAGATGAATTGACAGGAACTGTTTCAGAAATGTTTCCGAAATTAATTGATTTCTGATATTTTATTGATAATAACAGTGGTTTAAGGCAACATTTTTTGTGCAACATACACTTATTGCTCTATGTAACTCTGGAAAGCGTGTGATAGGCCTCTCACATAATGTTCAGCATGTTAGCTACCAGATACTGTATGAGACTCAGGCTCAAATTAACTCAAATTAACAAGTCATTCAGTAGGTTTGTTAGAGTATGTTTATGACTCTCAAAAATATGATTTTATTTCTGAATTTGTAATGTCTATTTCACATGATTTTTAACTCTTCAGATTTGTTATTAGACTTCTGAAATTGCCAAATTTCAAGGGTCAACTGAAAACCCAGTTTTTCTGGCAACCCCATAGGACAGAACTGTATACCGGTACATATATAGAAACACATCTTCCAACATTGACAAGTAACACCTACCTATAACATGTATATGTTACCTAGAAATAACATAATAGTTATGCTTCACCAACTGTACTTAAACACTAAATTTCATGTAAAATTGTATAAGCATTGCCTTAACTAGGGTAGCTTATATTGTATACATCCACAGTAGCTTTACTTGTTATGATATAAAATGTAAATTTTTTTTCCTCCTAGGTCTTTGGCACAGGTGTGTTCCCCCTTCTTACAATCAGTACGTACCAAAACATCAGTTAGTCTAAGGAAGGGGAAGTCAAAGACCGTCACTTCTGTTGTAACACGTTTCAAGCGGATGGAATGGGGTGGCTGGATTCGAACAAAAGCTGGTAAAAACAAGAGAATGTGGTCAAAGACTCCACAGCGACGATATCGTCTACAGCAGCATGTCATCTGTAATGGCCAACAAAGTAAGCTACTGGACAAGATGGTCACTGGTTACTGGCGAAAGCATCGACACTACCCAGATGATCCCTATGCTCCTTATCACAAACGTACAAACTTTTTTAATGCTGACAAGAATGATTTACCTCCCTTCCTGCCGTAGTGCACACACAGAGACATCATACAGTGTACTCTCAAGCTGACTTTTGAAAATGAAGATTTGATCGTAAATTTTGCAGATGAAAAATGTTGGTTGTGTTATCACCATCATTAAACATCCTAATAAATGTTGCATGCATAATTTTTTTTATTCGTTTACTGTGTAGATAATTGATTCTTCAAGACTAAAATGCATGAAAAATTGACAGCAAAAAGAAATGAATATGTCACTGCATGATAATGGGAATGTATACAGAAATATAAGTGGAAGATCGATTGATAACAAAGTACAAGATGAACATAATTTTGTTTTTTTTTCACAAGTCAGTGAATTGACCTTTAGCTTTGTCCATCATATTTGAACTGGTTTAAGGTTTGTTAAAGATACCTGAAGCTTATGAATATTGCAGCTGCTACTAGAGGGATGACATGGGAGTCAGGTATGACAAGGGAGTCGGGTATGACATGGGAGCCGATTATGACAAGGGAGTCGGGTATGACATGGGAGTCGGGTATAACATGGGAGTCATGGTGAATTTTTTATTATTTATATTCTTTCAGAAATTGTAACCTTGACGTCTGACTGTTGTCTTCCTATTTAAGCACCAAATGATCTCAAAGATAATCATATGTAAAGCTTAATCACAGTCTGTCTTTAAATCGTTAATACAGCTCTTAGAGTGATGATGAGAAAGTGACCTAGCCTGTTCAGCTAAGGAGGGGAGACAGAAAAGAATGATATAACAATTTTTAAATGAAAAGAGAAAGACTGATAGAGAACTTAAAAAAAAACTTAACTATCATGATAGGAAAAAAAAAGAGTCTTATTATATCAATGGCACAGGTTGAAATTACTACATGTTTTATATGGGATGGAGAAGACAATTCCCTGAGTCAGTGGTCCAGACATCTTTTCACCACCAACATGTTTCACTATATTTTATCAACATAGATTTATGTACATGCTGTACAATATACAATTGCCAACTGTCTTATTACAATATTTGTTTCAGGGTTTTGTTTCTAAATTACCTCCCTTTAGTGTAAACAATATTTTTATTGCTGTTCAACAACATAACATATAGATGTTTTATATGTAGAATGGGGAAACAAGTTTAGAGCATTTATCTCTTTAGGATACAGATAATCTATGACACCATCTGGTATTTTATTTTATTAGAACTGTTTCTAATATCTCCAATAATTCTGAAAAATAATCCTTATGACCTGATAAACAGTATGACATATTTATTTTAATTTTATGTTATACTGGATGTTTATTCTATGTGATTTATGATATAACTTCCCAGGTACATCTGTCTGGTGTCTGTCCATCTCTCTGCTGTCTTTGTTTCCCTTTAAATTATTTGTCATTGAACAAGAGGTTTAGAATCATGGTACTTGGTCTGTATCATGAAGAAGAGAATATTAAATCAATAGCACTGACCAAGGTTATGGTTGTAACAATTTCAGAAAAACCAGTCTGGAAGCGCCGTATCAAGGCCATTGGGCCAAGCATGTGACAATCCTTTGAAACTTCTTTCAATATAACAAAGACGTCCGTGGTCATTGTTTGTTTATGACAGGATACTGACAAACTGCTGTCTATGTAGTCTTTTACAGGATACTGAAATTAGATGCTGTCTATGTAATCTTTATGACAGGATACTGACAAACTGACAACTGCTGTCTATGTAGTCTTTATGACAGGATACTGAAAACTGCTGTCTATGTATCTTGTGTGTATATAATATGTATCTTTATGACAGGATACTGAAAACTGCTGTCTATGTAATCTTTATGACAGGATACAATACTGCTGTCTATGTAGTCTTTATGACAGGATACTGACAAACTGCAGGATACTGACAAACTGCTATGTAGTCTTTATGTGACAAACTGCTGTCTATGTAATCTTTATGACAGGATACTGACAAACTGCTGTCTATGTAGTCTTTATGACAGGATACTGACAAACTGCTGTCTATGTAATCTTTATGACAGGATACTGACAAACTGCTGTCTATGTAGTCTTTATGACAGGATACTGACAAACTGCTGTCTATGTAATCTTTATGACAGGATACTGACAAACTGCTGTCTATGTAATCTTTATGACAGGATACTGACAAACTGCTGTCTATGTAATCTTTATGACAGGATACTGACAAACTGCTGTCTATGTAATCTTTATGACAGGATACTGACAAACTGCTGTCTATGTAATCTTTATGACAGGATACTGACAAACTGCTGTCTATGTAATCTTTATGACAGGATACTGACAAACTGCTGTCTATGTAATCTTTATGTAGTCAGGATTATGCTGTCTATGTAATCTTTATGACAGGATACTGACAAACTGCTGTCTATGTAATCTTTATGACAGGGATACTATGTAATCTTTATGACAGGATACTGAAATACTACTGTCTTATGTAATCTTTATGTCAGGATACTGACAAACTGCTGTCTATGTAGTCTTTATGACAGGATACTGACAAACTGCTGTCTATGTAATCTTTATGACAGGATACTGACAAACTGCTGTCTATGTAATCTTTATGACAGGATACTGAGATACTACTGTCTATGTAATCTTTATGTCAGGATACTGACAAACTGCTGTCTATGTAATCTTTATGCAAACTGTCTATGTAATCTGACTGCTGTCTATGTAATCTTTATGACAGGATACTGAGATACTACTGTCTATGTAGTCTTTATGACAGGATACTGAGATACAGCTGTCTATGTAATCTTTATGACAGGATACTGAGATACTACTGTCTATGTAATCTTTATGACAGGATACTGAGATACTACTGTCTATGTAATCTTTATGACAGGATACTGAGATACTGCTGTCTATGTAGTCTTTATGACAGGATACTGAGATACTGCTGTCTATGTAATCTTTATGACAGGATACTGACAAACTGCTGTCTATGTAGTCTTTATGTCAGGATACTGACAAACTGCTGTCTATGTAGTCTTTATGACAGGATACTGACAAACTGCTGTCTATGTAGTCTTTATGACAGGATACTGACAAACTGCTGTCTATGTAGTCTTTATGACAGGATACTGAGATACTACTGTCTATGTAGTCTTTATGACAGGATACTGACAAACTGCTGTCTATGTAGTCTTTATGACAGGATACTGACAAACTGCTGTCTATGTAATCTTTATGACAGGATACTGACAAACTGCTGTCTATGTAATCTTTATGACAGGATACTGACAAACTGCTGTCTATGTAATCTTTATGACAGGATACTGACAAACTGCTGTCTATGTAATCTTTATGACAGGATACTGACAAACTGCTGTCTATGTAATCTTTATGACAGGATACTGAGATACTGCTGTCTATGTAATCTTTATGACAGGATACTGAAATACTACTGTCTTATGTAATCTTTATGTCAGGATACTGACAAACTGCTGTCTATGTAATCTTTATGACAGGATACTGAAATACTACTGTCTATGTAATCTTTATGACAGGATACTGACAAACTGCTGCTATGTAGTCTTTATGGCAGGATACAGACAACTGCTGTCTATGTAATCTTTATGACAGGATACTGACAAACTGCTGTCTATGTAATCTTTATGACAGGATACTGACAAACTGCTGTCTATGTAGTCTTTATGACAGGATACTGACAAACTGCTGTCTATGTAATCTTGATGGAAGGATACTGAGATACTACTGTCTATGTAATCTTTATGACAGGATACTGACAAACTGCTGTCAAACTGCTGTCTATGTAATCTTTATGACAGGATACTGACAAACTGCTGTCTATGTAATCTTTATGACAGGATACTGACAAACTGCTGTCTATGTAATCTTTATGACAGGATACTGACAAACTGCTGTCTATGTAATCTTTATGACAGGATACTATGTAATCTTTATGACAGGATACTGAGATACTGCTGTCTATGTAATCTTGATGACAGGATACTGACAAACTGCTGTCTATGTAATCTTTATGTCAGGATACTGACAAACTGCTGTCTATGTAATCTTTATGTCAGGATACTGACAAACTGCTGTCTATGTAATCTTTATGACAGGATACTGACAAACTGCTGTCTATGTAGATAATCTTTATGACAGGATACTGACAAACTGCTGTCTATGTAATCTTTATGACAGGATACTGAGATACTGCTGTCTATGTAATCTTTATGACAGGATACTGACAAACTGCTGTCTATGTAATCTTTATGACAGGATACTGACAAACTGCTGTCTATGTAATCTTTATGACAGGATACTGACAACTGTCTATGTATCTTTATGACAAACTGGATAGTCTGACAGGATACAAACTGCTGTCTATGTAATCTTTATGACAGGATACTGACAAACTGCTGTCTATGTAATCTTTATGACAGGATACTGACAAACTGCTGTCTATGTAATCTTTATGACAGGATACTGACAAACTGCTGTCTATGTAATCTTTATGACAGGATACTGACAAACTGCTGTCTATATGTCTTTATGACAGGATGACAGGATACTGACAAACTGTCTGTGACAAACTGCTGTCTATGTATCTTTATGACAGGATAATCTTTATGACAGGATACTGACAAACTGCTGTCTATGTAATCTTTATGACAGGATACTGACAAACTGCTGTCTATGTAATCTTTATGACAGGATACTGACAAACTGCTGTCTATGTAGTCTTTATGACAGGATACTGACAAACTGCTGTCTATGTAGTCTTTATGACAGGATACTGACAAACTGCTGTCTATGTAATCTTTATGACAGGATACTGAAACTGCTGTCTATGTAATCTTTATGACAGGATACTGACAAACTGCTGTCTATGTAATCTTTATGACAGGATACTGACAAACTGCTGTCTATGTAGTCTTTATGACAGGATACTGACAAACTGCTGTCTATGTAATCTTTATGACAGGATACTGACAAACTGCTGTCTATGTAATCTTTATGACAGGATACTGACAAACTGCTGTCTATGTAATCTTTATGACAGGATACTGACAAAATGCTGTCTATGTAATCTTTATGACAGGATACTGACAAACTGCTGTCTATGTAGTCTTTATGACAGGATACTGAGATACTACTGTCTATGTAATCTTTATGACAGGATACTGACAAACTGCTGTCTATGTAATCTTTATGACAGGATACTGACAAACTGCTGTCTATGTAATCTTTATGACAGGATACTGACAAACTGCTGTCTATGTAGTCTTTATGACAGGATACTGACAAACTGCTGTCTATGTAATCTTTATGACAGGATACTGAGATACAGCTGTCTATGTAACCTTTATGACAGGATACTGAGATACTACTGTCTATGTAATCTTTATGACAGGATACTGACAAACTGCTGTCTATGTAATCTTTATGACAGGATACTGACAAACTGCTGTCTATGTAATCTTTATGACAGGATACTGCTGCTGTCTGTCTACTGCTGTCTATGTAATCTTTATGACAGGATACTGGAGGATATCTTTATGACAGCACTGAAGTGCTGTAATCTTTATGACAGGATACTGACAAACTGCTGTCTATGTAGTCTTTATGACAGGATACTGACAAACTGCTGTCTATGTAATCTTTATGTCAGGATACTGAGATACTACTGTCTATGTAGTCTTTATGACAGGATACTGAGATACTACTGTCTATGTAATCTTTATGACAGGATACTGACAAACTGCTGTCTATGTAATCTTTATGACAGGATACTGACAAACTGACAACTGCTGTCTATGTAATCTTTATGACAGGATACTGAGATACTGCTGTCTATCTAGTCTTTATGACAGGATACTGACAAACTGCTGTCTATGTAGTCTTTATGACAGGATATTAGAATACACAGATGCTATCATTTGACGAGTAATCACATCATTTGTGTACGTTAGAAAGGGCTATATATTGTCTCGATGCTAACCTTTTTAATAAACAATATTATTTAACTGTTTCCGCGCATATTTCACCAATATCCTACCTTGCCGTATATATTGATCCTGATCTTGGCAGGACTCAACAAGGAAGCTGCCTGAAGTTCGTTAGAGAGCTGAGAGGAGTAAACCTTTCCACTGACCACGTGGTACTTGAGGACATCCTGTAGAGCTGTCTTGTTCTTCCTCAGGTGTTCAACAATGAAACGTGGCAGTTTGGTGAAGGCCTCGTCGGTGGGACCAAACACGGTGAATGGACCTGCAAAGACCATACTATCTTGTAGTGGCATGTATGCAAGGAACACTGAGTAGAGGACCGTAACAGTATACAATTTTTAGAGTCGTAGTCCAAAACTAAAGCGTCATCACATTATAGGTTAAATAGACCATATCATCACAAAATGAGACAAAAGTCACCTCACAGTGATAAAATAGGCCAATACCCTGTACCGTATGGACGAAATAGACAAAATATACCACAAACACAGGGGTAAATAAACCACAGCACCAACACACAAGGGCAAAATATACCACAGCTTCAAAATACAAGGCAAATTATACCACAGCTTCAAAATGCAAGACAAAATATACCATAGCATCAACACACAGAGGCAAGCTATACAACATAATCAATATTCAAGGAGCAAAAATATACCACAGGTCACCACTCATAGACAAAAACATACCACAGCGTCATTACTCATAGACAAAAACACACCACAGCGTCATAACTCAAAGACAAAACAGACCACAGCGTCATTACTCAAAGACAAAACAAACCCAGCGTCATCACTCAAAGACAAAAACATACCACAGCGGCATTACTCATAGACAAAACAAACCACAGCGTCATCACTCATAGACAAAAACATACCACAACGTCATTACTCATAGACAAAACAAACCACAGCGTCATCATTCATAGACAAAAACATACCACAGCGTCATTACTCATAGACAAAACAAACCACAGCGTCATCATTCATAGACAAAAACATACCACAGCGACATTACTCAGAGACAAAACAAACCACAGCGCCATTACTCATAGACAAAACAGACCACAGCGGCATTACTCATAGACAAAACAAACCCAGCGTCATTACTCAAAGACAAAAACATACACATCGTCATTACTCATAGACAATACAAACCACAGCGTCATTATTCTTAGACAAAACAAACTACAGCGTCATTATTCTTAGACAAAACAAACTACAGCGTCATTATTCTTAGACAAAACAAACTACAGCGTCATTATTCTTAGACAAAACAAACTACAGCGTCATTATTCTTAGACAAAACAAACCCAGCGTCATTACTCAAAGACAAAAACATACACAACGTCATTACTCATAGACAATACAAACCACAGCGTCATTATTCGTAGACAAAACAAACTACAGCGTCATTATTCTTAGACAAAACAAACTACAGCGTCATTATTCTTAGACAAAACAAACTACAGCGTCATTATTCTTAGACAAAACAAACTACAGCGTCATTATTCTTAGACAAAACAAACCCAGCGTCATTACTCAAAGACAAAAACATACACAACGTCATTACTCATAGACAATACAAACCACAGCGTCATTACTCATAGACAATACAAACCACAGCGTCATTATTCGTAGACAAAACAAACTACAGCGTCATTATTCTTAGACAAAACAAACTACAGCGTCATTATTCTTAGACAAAACAAACTACAGCGTCATTATTCTTAGACAAAACAAACTACAGCGTCATTATTCTTAGACAAAACAAACCCAGCGTCATTACTCAAAGACAAAAACATACACAACGTCATTACTCATAGACATTAGACAATACAAACCACAGCGTCATTATTCTTAGACAAAACAAACTACAGCGTCATTATTCTTAGACAAAACAAACTACAGCGTCATTATCCTTAGACAAAACAAACTACAGCGTCATTACTCAAAGACAAAACCGACCACAGCGTCATTATTCTTGAACAAAACCAAACCACAATGGCATTACTCAAAGCCATTATACCACAACTTCTAAATACATCATGACAGCACTGCATACAGACTAATTATACCATGATACCATTGCATACGGACAAAATATACCAAAGAACCTTAACATCACAGTAGAAATAGCAATAGAAAAATATAGGATTATCAGGTACCTTTGTAAGAATGAAACATAAGCGTTTTAAGTCATGAGCAAAGACCTGGCATTAAGATAAAAAGAGACCCATTCGCTGTCAAGGTAAATCTAAATACTACACAAGTACAACATTTTCATTCTCAATAACTAATTTTGAATGTTACAGAAAAAAAACAGTTCATTAAAATAAAGTTTTCAGTACCTCCAGTGGCAAGAGTGTCCGCGAGACCAGCCTCCTTGACCAGGGCTACCAGAGTCTTGGCGCCAAGCTGTTCAGCAAGTTCCACCAAATTGCCCTGCTGGCAATACCCTAAGGAGAGAACGCAGAGGAGAGAGATAGCTGCTAGGACCTTCATGTTGAGACGGAGCTGCCGGGGATCCAAGTACCCTCTAGACCTTTTATAGATCTGCTTGTGTAACTGACACTATAATGTTACATAAGCTGTGGTCTAGGTTATCATTACTGACACGTGAAAATTCACCACGTGATTCCAATCTACTTTAAGATGACGGACAAGGTCACGTTGGTACAATCTTTAACTTCACTTATTGGTCAAGTGGACAAACGTCTTGAGATTAGGTTCAGTTATTAAAGTTAGTCATATTCAAATGATCAGATAAATTCATGCAGAACTTGTAACCAATTTGTTCATCAACTAACAATTTACGAATAAAGTAAATCATCGTTTTATCGTGAAGAAAACAATATTTGGGTTTTACTGACTCAGCAGGTGATTCTGACCAATGTTTTGACGACCTATACACTTGACCTGTCTTCGACTGCTCGGTTTTATCAGTCACTGTGTACTGACCCTTCATTGCTGACCTTCCATTTATCTGTTGTCATGTCCAGACGTGACTTCATGAGCCATAGTTTACAGATACGCTTCACACATAAACAAATATGATAAGAAAAGTCAAGTTAGTGGTTTAAAATAACCAATTAATTAAATAGTTTCTTGTGAAAATGACAAGCAGCTGTATAATCGGTTTTTATTCATATAAAATCATCTGGTATGGGAAGACGTTTTGATATATATCTACAAAATGAGATATCTTTAATTCGAAATAATTCGACTAATTAGATAAATCGAACTAGTTCGAATTAATGACATCACTAATTCCCGGACTAATGATGTTAATAAATCAAAGAAGTGTGCTGTTATATCACCCAGTGATGTTAATGATTATAACTGTCAGCCCGAGAATAACAAATATTCCAAACAGACGCAAACACCTCTTTAAGCATATTAAATTTCTGTAATACCCAATACCTCTTTATACAAAATTAAGTTAAAAGCGGACAGTATCTAAATTTCATCCAATCAGAGGCGACCATTTGCCTTAGCATCGTTGTCATAGCAATGAAAAGCAAATAGTGATATCTGGCATTAACTTATACCTCTTTCTACCAATTTGGTCAAAATGGGATAATATCTAAATTTTACCCACCAGGATTGTGTTGCCATATTTCGTGTTTCTGAAACACTGAATGTATCCTACAGTAGGTACTATTTAGCGATAAGATAACAGTTGACTTCCATAAGGATATTAATACATGTGCTTGTTTACATAAAGTACACTTGTACTAACGTTTTTGACAGCTCATGAGCTGGTAATACACAACTTACTTTGTAAAGTCCCACCGTAGCAATGCTATACAATGCTGTAGATTTACTGGTATCATAAATCCGAATTATTCTATTTTGAAGTTTGATTTTAAAGTTCTGTAGTGTACTGTTGCGTCAGACTTTGATGTTGAAAATGAAATAATTCTGAAGTATAAAGTACATTAACTTGAAACAATCGACGAGAACCTTCAGTGTGATTTGTCAGATCTCTATTGAAAATAAATTATAACATAGTTTGCCACTGATGTGAGGTTGTTCGGCCTTGACATTTTGTTTAAATCTGCATTTGCTCACGAGACCTAACATCGGTCGTAGCTAAAAGATATTAAAATGAAATATTTCCAATAAGTCATTAATAGAAAAGGCATTCACTTTCAAATACCAATACCAATAAAAAAAAAGACTCAAAACGAACATGACTCAGACATGTAACATAACATTTAATGCAGACACAAAAATATTTAAATTTTATTTTCAAATTCAATTATAAGTCATTCATTTCAGTCCAAACTGTAAGCAATCTCTGATGTTATCCTGGATTTATCATATACAAATTTATCTTCAGCAATATTTCTGATTTGAAAGAGGCTTAAAGTCTGGATTGTTTGTGGACCAGTGTTATTCAGGCTAGAAATGAGGTTAACCTTGAAAGTTCTTTGGTTAGTGTGGAGAGTACATTGAAGACAGAACTGTTCACAATCTTCGTTTGGATAGCTACACAGACAGGCAGGGTTATCAGTTCAGTGAGAGTTCAACAAGTCAGGACTTAAGTTACTTACAGAATTCCTAAGTTGACATAATATTGTATTAAATTTTCTATCGAATTGTATTGGGAGATATCAACTTTGTAACAACAATGTAAGAACATTGTAAATAAGATTACTTTGTAGTACACATTCCCTCGTTTAAGTTCTGATAGATTCCATAGAAGGAAAGAGACAGACGAGATCATTCCACTCTGTCATTAAAGAACTGTTACGATATTAATGTGATCTGGATGTGGGGGAATCCAATAATCAATTATATGGAAAATTGTAATTATCATTGGTATTTATATATGGTTGTAACAGGTTATTGATATGGGAACGACAATCATTATATTGATAAAAAATGTAATTTTTGGATGCAACTGTCTTCTTACACGAAGTGGATTAATAACAAAATCTCTATATAGAACATCGTGACTAGGACCTCGTCTTAAACCAGTTAAAGTACGTGTAGCTTCAAGTTGGATTGACTCCAGGACGTTGTATCCTGCTTGATTACAGTTAGGTCACATAATGTACAGTAGCATATATACTGAATCTGGCAGAATGGATGTAGTGTAACTATAAAGTTTTGTGTCAAGTCTTGATATTTTAATATCTAAAGATATTGATGTTTCTGTACGCTTTTTCAATGTAGTTGATAAGAGTAGATGACTTAGCAGATTCACACCTAAATCTTCATGATGAATAACAAAATCGTTATAAAATAAGTCAGGTTGTAACGCCCGGGACCCAAACCGTTTTGAAAAGAGAAGCGCTACAGTTGTATTCGGATTAAAAATAATGGCCCGTGTGAATTTGTCCTAAAGTCTTTATTTAAGATGTTAGTAGACTTCTGTCAGCTTCCGTTTATCAAGGTAAACAAAGAAGCATCATCTGCAAGTAATTGCACATTTGAAGTAATTTTTTCTTTAATATCATAAATATTGAGTAAAAACAGGCATCGTCCGAATAGAGAACCTTGAGGCATGCCAGCCTGTAAGGATTTCCAAGTTGATCTATATCCATTTGAGACAAATCTCTGTTTCTTATCATATAAATATGATGGGAAACATTTAAACTATTGATGATTCAAACGCTGTCCTTCTAAATATTGATAACGAGTGTAATTTTATTCTGTCTAATATTAATACTGCTACTGATGTCAAAGATGATATATTTAATCTTGATTGTTCTAACTTACCCCTCTGTAATAAATTCTCGATTACTTAAAGAATCTGATAATGTTTTCTGTACTCCTAGTTCATTTTTTAACAAATCACTTACATCTGATGTGTTTCCTACATATTGGAACACTACTAATGTAACACCTGTGCGCAAAAAATAAAAAATTCTATCCTAACTAATTACATCAAATTATGGAGAAGACCATACTTTTCCTGACCTTCCATCCGATCTGTGTGCATACATTTGTAACACCAGATTTTGTCAGCCCTCTCTCTCTCTCTCTCTCTCTCTCTCTGTATATATAAATATCTTGAACAATTTCGAGTTTCGGGGTTGTTCTGTCAATATCACGTACTATTTTAGAAAATAATTGTCAGCGCCCTCCAGGTTCAAGTCTTGATAGATTTACATAAATCTTTACACACTTTCAACGCACTAAAATGTCTTGAACAAATTTTCAATGTTGTTATGTCTAGATCAAACAAGCGTTACACTTATGGTTTCCTTCCTCACACACTTAGAAATGACACAGAAAATGTATTATCAGATTGTCAGACTTATTTATTGCATTGTTACATTAAAATCATAAAAGGATTCAGTACTTTTATCTTTTATTACAAATTTAACATCTTTTTATAAATCATTACACTGTAGTAGCCAGTGTAGGGCGGTAATGGATATGTAGCAATATTCGGATAAATGTTCACATTAATTGCCATATTCGCACGTCATTGACAGTTATTGAACTGTTCAAACACAACTGACTTTATTACCGTAGTAACGCCATACGATGTGAAATATTTATTGAATGATATCATTAATTCGAATTATCCCATTTTGAAGATCGATTTAAAACAAAACCTCGGGGTTCAATGTTGTGTCAGGCTTTGGTATTGACACCTCAATGTCAGATCTCTGTAACAGATCAATTCTAACACAAACCAATTAGAATTGTTTTTCACTGATGTGTGGTTGTTCGGCCTTGACATTTGTTTAAATCTCTATTTGCTCACGAGACCGGACATCGGTCGTAGTCACGAGTTACAGTTCATATTTACACTAACATGTGCCTACTTCAACTTTTCAGGTCACGCGTACCAGATAACAATTTAGACAATGACTCACATTCCTCAACAGTGGCGACCAATCTCCCCAAAGTTTAGCTTACATCGCATTTGATTCAATGTACTAGGACGTTTTCCACACGTTTCTGTAAAGGTGCTGACGAAGAAGCTTACAAAAGTTAATGGTTGTCATCATTATCACAGAAATGTCGATATTTATTTGTTTGTACGCTTTATTATACCATCCCTTTCTTATTTTAGCATGTGGTATACCATATTCTTGACAAGGTTTCTAAATGCCATTTTAAAGCAGCTTACACCACGATAATCTTTTCTCGTTGAACTATTTTCAGAACAACGTAAATAAATCCCCTTCGATTACTATAACTCTCGTCCAGTAAATGTATAGAGCCTTTAATGATTTCTCATTGAATATACTTTTTATTTCACATGTCATATGCAGCTATTTCGACGGGATACCATGGGTTACGTCCCTTTAGCGCTTATCGAGTCGTAGGCGCGTTGTCAGAATAATCGTTTTGTTAATAATTATGTAAGACTATGAAGGAGATTCATTTGTGAGTTTCAACTATAAAAAATGACGCAACTAATTTTCATCTAAGAATTTCAAAAAATGTTTATTTGTAACGAAGAAATGTTAATTTTACTGATCAGAGGCATATATTTTGGAATTTATAACTACAAAACGATGTATTCATATTTTTTCTACTAAAAAATCGTTCACCTGGAGTAAGAAACCCGGTATGTCCTCAATAGCTGCATATGATAACAGAACATTTGTATGAAACAGGCGAAGATACTCTACATTTCCCTTTACATTAAGCATTTCATACAACTTTGGGGCGCAAGGGCAGTCGTATTTTCAGCCATGCCTTGTATTACTTTTAAAATGTATACTAGAATTGCGGGTTTGCTTCATGTTCTAATTCGCGTGTTATCTTAAACAATGTTAGGTTAATGTAACCCTGGTAAAATAACAGCCGCAATATACCACTCGGCAAGAAAGAACTTCTCTTTAGCTCGATTGGTTGAGCGTGAGACTAGTGAGCCAGGGGTCCCGGGTTCGATTCCTAGCGGAGGCATTGAGATGAAAAATGACCTCTGTTACATTGGTGCTCATGTAGGGACCCGGGAATAGTACTTAGCCATGCCCCAACGGCGTCGCTGTGACCCCTGGAAACTTGTGGACGAGTTATTCCCTAGAGGGGGAATATGTAACCCTGTGACAGTCTTCATTATTATTTCAATGCTACCGCTAAGATTCGAACCAGGGACTTTTAGTTTACTCGTCTGAAGCTCAAACGATCGAGCTAAAAAGGTCTCTCTTGCTGAACAGTATATTTCGGCAGTATTATAGGGTTACATATGTAATATCGTAATAAAGAGTAATGTGATTTTTTTACCAGTCGGCTGTTTCACCTCTATGAATTTTTACATAAACTACACGTTCTACTTCATCATCGTAAGCAACAACAGCAGCATCGTCATTTCTTGAATTGCTGGATTTATTGGAGCTAATATTACGTCTCTGTGTTCCAGATTGGGCATTGAAGTGTCTAAAAGTTAAATTTATTTTATTAATATTGGAATCGGGCTCTCCATGTACGACAATGTTTGACAGTATTGATATAAGGGAGGCAACTCGTCCCGTTTAATAAAATTAGTTAGCTTCCTGTGGCGAGTGGAACCGACACGTGAGTTTGGGGTATATTTTGTTTTTCTTTATGCTTGTTAAGAGATGATGATGATGATGATGATGATGATGTTCATTTTGTAACCGTTTGTCTATCCCTTTATGATGAGGAACTCCAGGCGTCTACAGATGTAATTGTTTGTGAGTTCTAGATATTGACCGGTACTTGGTAATCTAGTTCGTCTTATCTGTGGTTCTGTCTTATTATTCCATGGCTACAGACCAATAACTCAAGACAGGAATAAAAGTTAACGAGTTTATTAGTTACAACAGACAAATAAACATGGAGATATTTACAATGATGAACAAGATACACCGGCTCCGACGACGGCTATGACTTTACTTGGTCACACTACCAGTAAATTCTTACTATCATAAAACAACTGCCACCCAGTTGCCCAACCCTGGGATATGTAACACTACCGAAAACCCTAACAGAACATAATAATAACTTTAAGCAACTGCCTGCTAAGGGAAAATACCACCCAACCCAGAGTAATTTTGAGGTCTAAGGCCGAAAGAGTCCTACATACCTTTCTAGGGAGAAAGAGAGCTGACCAGCTACATGAAAGCTACTGCCAAACTGACTAATACCACCCGAACACTCTGCTATACAGCTAAATTTAATAATATGCCACGAAGTACACGTGAGACCTGTCACCTGAGTAGGTATAGTAATGTACAGGTGTGGTGACAAGTGCCTAAAATATTAACCAATCAGAGCCGTCTAAATAATAAAAGTGGAAGGGAATCCCCAAACTGGAATATCTCTAGTAAACAAACATGGCGGCGACGTAACAGAACTCTGACAACACATGACAGACACAATGATTTAACAGGGCGTAAGTACAATGAACTCACTACTTTTACATATGTAAACAAACATGTACAAGTCTTGTTTTTGTTCGAAACGCCATCGTCATGGACTAAGTTTTATAAGGTGAATAGTAAAATAACATCAATATGACAAGTGTGTTTAACAATACACGCGTCTTAAGCCTTATGTGATCCGTCTACTGGTGGTGATAGTATGATAATGTAGATGTTTAGAATACAGATCACCTTACATGTCTCAACCCGATACTCCAGACAACACGGACCGTAGGGACAGGGAAATGCATATTTCAGTCGGGTCTGCCAATCAGAAATCGAACCCGGGTTTCCGGCATGATGATCGATCGGCTCCGCTAACTGAACAAAATCTCGGGAAAGAGACCGAATTTAACGCTAAGTAACACCGACATATCGGCTATATGACAGAGACCGTATTTATACACTATAAACTGGACCGACACTCTCATCGATCTTAAAGCTAGGAAAGTTGGCATTTATTCATGGATAAATGTCGATCCTGTGCTTAACAGAATCCTATAAATATCTTACTAACTCAACAAGCTGCCTTATTTGTTTATATATCTCAATTGTTTATTGTTTATATGATATTTAACGTTTCTGATTTAGTAAATTACATTGTAGGCATCAAATTTATTTAATAATGTCTTTATTATTATTTCTCATCTGAGTGGTCGGGGCGCAATGGTAACGCACTCGCCTTTCATATAGCCGTCCGGGTTCGATTCCTGGAAAGGTATTGGGTCAATTGTTGTAAAATAAATAAAGTTTATAAATGCAATAATATAGTATTCAGGCATGACGATTCAGCTATTTTATGTAATATGTGTTAAGTACAATATACAGGGTCAAGATTGCTTCATGAATTGATCACAACTTTATAAATCTTCAACGCCCCTTAGTTTCCATTTTTGACACCATTATACACTTGTGAAATATACCGGTTTATTTTTATTCGTTTAATATGTTGTTTGAATCTCGCATTAAATGTTTAAGATGTAAGTTGCTAACTGTAAACATGTGTACAATTTAAAATGATTGATTATAAAATCATGGTACATAATGATCCTAGTTTGAAATGATCACTTCTCTGAGAGAATCATTTAGTTTCCTCTTCACAGGACTCCAACGTACTACCAAATACATGCAATTAATTAGTAGTTACAAAACTTCCTCTTTTCCACCGAATTTTAGATTTATAGACATATAAAAAGTTTTTGGTTTTCTCAATGTATATTTAATCTGTTTTGAAAGATTTCACTGTTTGTACCGATTACCGATTTTGTTTTGTTCGAAGAAGTTTTTCCATATTATGACTGGGAACAGACTAGAATGCTTTACCTTATATCTAGCTTATATTGCTATAAACATAGCTCGTTTCGAATGACTTTTTGTATTTTGACTATGTCGTCCAGAGTACAGGAAAATACTCTGATTTGCTATTGCAAATATTAATATGCAGCTATTTCTACGTGATGCCATGGGTTACGTCCCTTTAGCGCTTATCCCATCATATGTACGTAAGCGCACGGGCAGAATAGAGCCAGAGTGAATTTAGTACTCAGTAGGTATCGTTTTACTCGGAAACCCGTACAGTCATAGTTATATAGGTATCTGTTGCAGTCTCCTTAACAGTAAGGTACATAACATATCGGATTTATTTCGAATTTAAATCCGTGATAGCATAAATATCTAAATCACTAACAAAATTAACCACCTTCAACGATTATAATAAAGTGTTACAATTAAGTTCAACAATATCTGTTGAATAAAAACATCATATTTGATTGTATGAGGGCATATGGTCAGTTATTTCGAATGAAGCGCCGGTAAATCCCCAACTGAGAGCCCCTGTGGTTTACCCGGACAGGTGTGAACTATAGCCATCTCTTTCATGTACTAATTTTTCATCGTCGGACTTAATGTCCTATATGATTTCATACATTACTGCAGTCAATACACGAAGACATCATCTGATTTGGTCAGGGGCGTATGATAAAGTAACTCATTACATTAAGGAAACGAAGGACAATGATTAGAACTTCTGTTCTGTAGCAGTACTTCTGACAGTACCATAGCAATATTGCTTATATTTCAGGCCGTAGATGATGAAGACCACATGATTTGCTGGTGATGTTTGATTGGTTGCCGTTGAAAGAAGCCGATATTTGATTGGTTCGTGGTGGATGGCCAGAATGTGGAGCAAACTCATTGCTGTATTGGTAGGCATAGTGGCGGGATTATGGTGGTGGCAAGATTTTGACGAAGGTAGATATAAGTTTTAAAAACGTGAAAAAGTCACCAATACATCGATTTCTTAGGAGATGAAAATTATTTTAAATTTTGAATGTAATATTAAGGAACGATGCCTTGCATGACTGGTTACGTAAATTTATACCAAGTGAGTTGTGAAATTTGATGTTTGATAAGAATTTTCATTATACCGCGATATTTTTTTGATGCTTTATTTTAAAGAAATGGTTCACACTGTTGTTAGACATATTATAAGGATATGTCAAGATATGATTGAGCTTGGGTTTTCTTGTTACCGGGATGTGTTGCATATCATTTACTATTTATAACCAAATGTTATAACTACATGACATCAAGTACCTACATTGTGTAATGAAGTGTTATTCCTCAAGAATGACTTGTCACAGATGTGTTTACTAATAGAAATTCTTACAAATCTTTTACATCGAGTTACATTGTTATAATTTTTTACTGTATTGATTATGTTTGTTAGAATCATGAAATGAACGGACGAAACTTCGAAAGATATGTTCCTGAAGTTTAGATAACCCAGTTGTAGACTTGCATGTGTGAAGAGGACTAATTTTTACATATCGATATTAAGGAATCACAGAACTTCTTTTGTAGTTCTTGTCCATAATTCTGAATGTCGTAAGTCTGACCTCCTGGATTAGTGTCGGTAATGTAAAACGTCAAACAGTACCACCCCTAGTTACTTAGCTAGTCGATGGTTGTTTATCGCCTCGACATCCATCAATTGAAGACATACACAGTAGTGTGAACAAAAATGGAAGTTAGTAACAATACGAGTAAAACTTGTTGCTGTAGGGGTCATTCGAGGTAAGCGCGTGCTTGTGACGGGTGCCTCGACAGGAATTGGCGAACAGCTAGCCTATCACTACGCTCGGATGGGAGCCAGTGTCATGGTAACGGCGAGACGGACACAGAGGTTACAGGAGGTAAATATGCTAGGAATAAAGAGTGGAAGAAATCATGTGATTTGATTTTATCTCAGATTATAAATGCAGTTAATTCATGGTATTTCCTTTAATACGACAGCATTTTTCTTCTGTTCAGTTTTGATGATTTCTGTGTCAACAGGTGGTGACCAAGTGTAGGGAGCTTGGAAGGCCGGACGCCATCTTTGGTTACGTCACCGGTGATATGTCTAATATGTCATTTACAAAGGAACTAATAAATGTAAGCGTGATTACGTACTGCATACATGTATGTTTTCGTTTTAAAATATTGATTGCGAACATTGATTGTAAAGAAGTTAAATTGTTGAAAACGTGTCCAAATATGACAGGTTTTACATATCTCTTTTTGGCCAATATTGCAGGCTCTGCTGGTGGTCAGTACAGGTTTCGGCGATAGAGTGAGCTCTACTGGTGGTCAGTACAGGTGTAAGCGATAGAGTGGGCTCTGCTTGTGGTCAGTACAGGTGTAGGCGATAGAGTTTGCTCTCTAGGTGGTCAGTACATATGTTGGCGATGGAGTGGGCTCTCCTGGTGGTCAGTACAGGTGTAGGCGATAGAGTGAGCTCTGCTGGTGGTCAGTACAGGTGTAAGCGATAGAGTGGGCTCTACTGGTGGTTAGTACAGGTGTAGGTGATAGAGTGGGCTCTGCTGGTGGTCAGTACAGGTGTTGGCGATAGAGTGGGCTCTCCTGGTGGTCAGTACAGGTGTAGGTGATAGAGTGAGCTCTACTGGTGGCCAGTATGTGTGTTGGTGATAGAGTGGGCTCTGCTGGTGGTCAGTACAGGTGTAGTCGATAGAGTGGGCACTACTGGTGGTCAGTACAGGTGTAGGCGATAGAGTGGGCTCTGCTGGTGGTCAGTACAGGTGTAAGCGATAGAGTGGGCTCTGCTGGTGGTCAGTACAGGTGTAAGCCATAGAGTGGGCTCTGCTTGTGGTCACACAGGTGTAGGCGATAGAGTGGGCACTACTGGTGGTCAGTACAGGTGTAGGTGATAGAGTGGGCTCTGCTGGTGGTCAGTATGTGTGTTGGTGATAGAGTGGGCTCTGCTGGTGGTCAGTACAGTTGTAGTCGATAGAGTGGGCACTACTGGTGGTCAGTACAGGTGTAGGCGATAGAGTGGGCTCTGCTGGTGGTCAGTACAGGTGTAAGCGATAGAGTGGGCTCTGCTGGTGGTCAGTACAGGTGTAAGCCATAGAGTGGGCTCTGCTTGTGGTCACACAGGTGTAGGCGATAGAGTGGGCACTACTGGTGGTCAGTACAGGTGTAGGTGATAGAGTGGGCTCTGCTGGTGGTCAGTATGTGTGTTGGTGATAGAGTGGGCTCTGCTGGTGGTCAGTACAGTTGTAGTCGATAGAGTGGGCACTACTGGTGGTCAGTACAGGTGTTGGCGATAGAGTGGGCTCTGCTGGTGGTCAGTACAGGTGTAGTCGATAGAGTGGGCACTACTGGTGGTCAGTACAGGTGTAGGCGATAGAGTGGGCTCTACTGGTGGCCAGTATGTGTGTTGGTGATAGAGTGGGCTCTGCTGGTGGTCAGTACAGGTGTAGTCGATAGAGTGGGCACTACTGGTGGTCAGTACAGGTGACCAGTATGTGTGTTGGTGATAGAGTGGGCTCTGCTGGTGGTCAGTACAGGTGTAAGCGATAGAGTGGGCTCTGCTGGTGGTCAGTACAGGTGTAAGCCATAGAGTGGGCTCTGCTTGTGGTCACACAGGTGTAGGCGATAGAGTGGGCACTACTGGTGGTCAGTACAGGTGTAGGTGATAGAGTGGGCTCTGCTGGTGGTCAGAACAGTTGTAGTCGATAGAGTGGGCACTACTGGTGGTCAGTACAGGTGTAGGCGATAGAGTGGGCTCTGCTGGTGGTCAGTACAGGTGTAAGCGATAGAGTGGGCTCTGCTGGTGGTCAGTACAGGTGTAAGCCATAGAGTGGGCTCTGCTTGTGGTCACACAGGTGTAGGCGATAGAGTGGGCACTACTGGTGGTCAGTACAGGTGTAGGTGATAGAGTGGGCTCTGCTGGTGGTCAGTATGTGTGTTGGTGATAGAGTGGGCTCTGCTGGTGGTCAGTACAGTTGTAGTCGATAGAGTGGGCACTACTGGTGGTCAGTACAGGTGTTGGCGATAGAGTGGGCTCTGCTGGTGGTCAGTACAGGTGTAGTCGATAGAGTGGGCACTACTGGTGGTCAGTACAGGTGTAGGCGATAGAGTGGGCTCTACTGGTGGCCAGTATGTGTGTTGGTGATAGAGTGGGCTCTGCTGGTGGTCAGTACAGGTGTAGTCGATAGAGTGGGCACTACTGGTGGTCAGTACAGGTGACCAGTATGTGTGTTGGTGATAGAGTGGGCTCTGCTGGTGGTCAGTACAGGTGTAGTCGATAGAGTGGGCACTACTGGTGGTCAGTACAGGTGTAGGCGATAGAGTGGGCTCTGCTGGTGGTCAGTACAGGTGTAGGAGATAGAGTGGGCACTACTGGTGGTCAGTACAGGTGTAGGCGATAGAGTGGGCTCTGCTGGTGGTCAGTACAGGTGTAGGAGATAGAGTGGTCTCTCCTGGTGATCAGTACAGGTGTAGGCGATAGAGTGTGCTCTGCTGGTGGTCAGTACAAGTGTAGGCGATAGAGTAGACTCTGCCTGTGGTCAGTACAAAACTATATTTTCTTGGACAACAATTATGTTTACAAGTCTGGTATTTTTTATGAATTGTTTTTCCCGTTTGATTCAGCATAAATTATGTCTTTGACATCTGACGTCAACTTATCATGAGAGCACTGTTAAATTTCGTATACATGTAAGATTGTTACCCTTTCCTTAATCCATTCTTACCAATACTTAGCGATACACAGTATCGTTGATAGCAGTATACCGATCTATCGATATTGGTTTGTATAAAAGGCAGATATGTTAAATTTTATCAAAGTAGTAAAATTACCCAAACATAATTCCATATTTCTTGTACTGAAGGAGTCCATACAAAGAATGGGTGGCCTTGACTATCTACTGTTGAACCACATTCTCTCCCAAGATCTCCATTTTTGGAGTGGTGACGTAGACGATATGGCCTACTTGGACAAGGTCTTCGAAGTCAACTTCAAAGCCTACGTGCACCTGGCATCGCACGCGCTTCCAGAACTAGAGAAATCCAATGGTCACGTGGTGGTCTTGTCATCATTTGCAGGTGTGTGCTTCAACCTTATATTAATACATGTGTCATGTTACATACTTAAGACACAATTAAGAATGTTACCGAAAGCGAGACTTGATTTTAATGGTTGCTGTTATCTGTGTTTTGATTTCCGCACAGGTAAATCAGCCCCGCCATTTTCAGTGCCTTATGCCTCGACCAAGTTTGCATTGGGTGGATTTTTCAGTGGATTGCGACAGGAACTTCGAATGAAAGACAGCAGTGTATCTATAACCACGTGTACTATTGGATTCATAGGTAACACACCTTACTGTTACAGTTAACTCGGTCCGATTAATTACAGTTACAGTTAACTCGGTCCGATTAATTACAGTTACAGTTAACTCGGTCTGATTAATTACAGTTACAGTTAACTCGGTCCGATTAATTACAGTTACAGTTAACTCGGTCCGATTAATTACAGTTACAGTTAACTCGGTCTGATTAATTACAGTTAACTCGGTCCGATTAATCATAGTTACAGTTAACTCGGTCTGATTAATTACAGTTACAGTTAACTCGGTCTGATTAATTACAGTTACAGTTAACTCGGTCTGATTAATTACAGTTACAGTTAACTCGGTCTGATTAATTACAGTTACAGTTAACTCGGTCTGATTAATTACGGTTAACTCGGTCTGATTAATTACAGTTAACTCGGTCTGATCAATTACTGTTACAGTTAACTCGATCTGATTAATTACAGTTAACTCTGTCCGATTAATTACAGTTGCAGTTAACTGGGTCTGATTAATTACAGTTACAGTTAACTCTGTCCGATTAATTACAGTTGCAGTTAACTGGGTCTGATTAATTACAGTTACAGTTAACTCTGTCCGATTAATTACAGTTACAGTTAACTGGGTCTGATTAATTACAGTTACAGTTAACTCTGTCCGATTAATTACAGTTGCAGTTAACTGGGTCTGATTAATTACAGTTGAAGTTAACTGGGTCTGATTAATTACAGTTGCAGTTAACTCGGTCTGATCAATTACAGTTGCAGTTAACTCGATCTGATTAATTACTGTTACAGTTAACTCGGTCTGATTAATTACAGTTAACTCGGTCTGATTAATTAAATCGCTTAATATAATACTCATTTAATTTAAACCTACATCACTATTATCTGTCATATTACCTTATGAAATGTTTGAGTCATTATTGTTACTGAGATCGGAATATTTTGATCAAGTTTTAAGCATGTTCTATTAACAGCATCTTTGTGGTAAAACGACCATGGTGAGAAGTTCTTTTTAGGGAAACACAAATCACTGTGGCACCCTGATTTTTTTTAGACGACTCAAATCTAATGTCACATGAAGTATTATAAAATATACTTATTCTAATTAAGTCACTTGCCAAACTTATTTAATTTCGGGTCAATTTGGTGTGATTGAAAAATATCGGCCAAGGTTTGTTTCTCTGCTTCTACAAGAAAATTTTGATACCATACTCTATAAACAAACCAGTTATATTGAGCAGATGAGCAAATATCGTAAAGTTTTTATCTCGATGTACTTTTGCCCTAGTATCTGTGAAGATATTTCTTTTGCTCATATTCTTGAGCAACACTCCGTTTAGAAGGATTTTTGTGTGCAGCTCTGAAGTCCAATTTTGCTCTGAAATCCAATGTTGCTCTGAAATCCAATGTTGCTTTGCAATCTAATGTTGCAAACGAGGAGCAGTATTTATCCTTACATTTATTTCTTAATAACCATAATATGTTATTAACCAACATATTTGGTAAAGACTTTTATTCATTAAAGATAATCCTGAGGAATATAATTATGTCTTAATTGGATATACATGTAGTTAGACACTCTTTACATCTTGCATGAAGACCATTTTCTGTTTCGTTGAGCGAGGGACTAAAGTCGATGAAGCATTTAAAAAACACACAGGGTGCTATATATGTCATTTCGTTGGTTGCAGCAACAGACAACGCAGTTGCTTCCTTTGCTCGGATTCGGAATGGAGCGCCACTACAGCGCATCATGGGATCTGCAGCCACTCCTTCAGACACCGCCCTGGATATCATTAGGGGAGCCGCTTATCGGCAAAGGGAAGTGTACACACCCTTCCTCCAAATATACACAACATCGTTTATGAATAATTTATTCCCTAGTCTTATAGATTACATTATGCGATGTATATATAGTGATTGATGTAACGCAAAAATTGAGGAAGAAGATTGGTGATCGTCTTTTGCGCAGTAAAACATTTACATTATAAATCCAAATTTTTAGTGATCTGATTATAAACATATTCTTCACTGTGCCTGAATTGTCGTCATTGGTATTTCGAGGAGGATTTCCGAAACAGGCTTATGCCACAACAATAGTGCTCCTTATGACGGTCTTTGAGACTGAATACTACAACTACAACACTTATCCATTTCTGGTCACAGATTTTATATCTGTGTCAAGGCTTCAAGGGGTATCATTTGATGTCAGTCAGGGCAATGGCCCCTTTCCCGGGTTTTTAACACGTGTGTAGACGCATGGGTCGCTGGTAAGGACTTTCTGTGTAAATCTAGTACCGTCTCCTAGGTGGACAAGAGATGACACAGGTACTGTCTTCTATGTGAACTAGAGATGACACAGGTACCGTCTCCTAGGTGGACAACAGATGACACAGGTACCGTCTCCTAGGTGGACAAGAGATGATATAGGTACCGTCTCCTAGGTGGAAAAGAGATGACACAGGTACCGTCTCCTAGGTGGAGAAGAGATGACACAGGTACCGCCTCCTAGGTGGAGAAGAGATGACATTCCATATAAATGTGATTTTGCTCAGGATGTACATGTGCCTTGTTTTCGAGGTCGGTGTCACAGTACAACGGGTTACGTATGTCAAATTCTGATGAGGACAATGTGTCCAGTGTGGTAAGGAAACCTCTTGATAAAACTCTGTGTAATGTATCATGTTGTGGTCCAAAGTCTGGATCGTCGTCGGAACGAATCCGTGATTGAATGACAATTCATTCCCTTTTTTATTTTCATTTCAAAGATTTGTAGTAATATGGTAATTGACTAACGAGTCACAGATGTGACTTTTGTTTTTGATTTACTGATGTTTTGTTTCTCATTCTTTTTTTCAATATTTAACAATGGTCATCATGTACTAATAAAAATAGTCTATGCATTGATGTATGTCATTTACAAATTTATTATCAATACCAAAGAATAAAATTGTTTGTTACAATAGATCGTGTAAAAATGTGTCTTTCACTTGTCCATTCTCTTTCCATATTTACCGGATCATGTCCGATCCGGTCCTTCCACAATCCGACGGCGAATAATCTGACTGTCCTCGCTATCCGAGCATTGGCTATCATGGTACAGGGATTCCGACCGCTGTTCAGCTGGTATTTTAAGGTATCATGGTACAGGAATTCCGACCGCTGCTCAGCTGGTATTTTAAGGTATCATGGTACAGTGATTCCGACCGCTGTTCAGCTGGTGTTTTAAGGTATCATGGTACAGGAATTCCGACCGCTGTTCAGCTGGTGTTTTAAGGTATCATGGTACAGGAATTCCGACCGCTGCTCAGCTGGTGTTTTAAGGTATCATGGTACAGGAATTCCGACCGCTGCTCAGCTGGTGTTTTAAGGTATCATGGTACAGGGATTCCGACCGCTGTTCAGCTGGTGTTTTAAGGTATCATGGTACAGGGATTCCGACCGCTGTTCAGCTGGTGTTTTAAGGTATCATGGTACAGGGATTCCGACCGCTGTTCAGCTGGTGTTTTAAGGTATCATGGTACAGGGATTCCGACCGCTGTTCAGCTGGTGTTTTAAGGTATCATGGTACAGGGATTCCGACCGCTGTTCAGCTGGTGTTTTAAGGTATCATGGTACAGGGATTCCGACCGCTGTTCAGCTGGTGTTTTAAGGCATCATGGTACAGGGATTCCGACCGCTGCTCAGCTGGTATTTTAAGGTATCATGGTACAGGGATTCCGACCGCTGTTCAGCTGGTGTTTTAAGGTATCATGGTACAGGGATTCCGACCGCTGTTCAGCTGGTGTTTTAAGGTGTAATTGATTACTAAAGAAAGATATCAGCACTAATAGTGCTCCAAAAGTCACGTTTGTAATCACCATGATTGCAGTCCGGTTTATCGAGGTGATCAGACAATGGAAAAGACTGGAATAATAAGTTTACATACAATATTACATGACATAATCAGTGACTGACATGTTGTGGTCTTCACACAGGCTGTTACCTATGAAATACATAAAAAGTCCAAACATGCACTCGTACTAGTGTCTAATACTGGGAATATGGAGGAGGAACAGGGGGCGTGGTAGGAACTGGTACGTCAATCAAACAGTCCGTATCAGGTCTAGGAGGTGGCGCTGATGGTTGGTTTTGGTAATGTGCTCGGGTATATTGAGGAATATACTGAATCGTTGTCTCCCCTATTGGAGGATTCGCGCGTGCAGCTGCAGGATTGGTGCGTCCATTATTCAAATTTTTGGAATCACATTCTTGAAGTATTCTAAAGAATTCACCGTCCTGACTCTGAAGAACAACGAGTCCAGGTTCCAGTTCATGTGCATAAATCGGCGTCATTGGAAAACCTTGTTTGGGAATGTTCGAGTTCGGCCTTTCTTCTACCCAGTCACAGCATTTCCACAGGAAGGCTACTAGTACAAGAAACATGGCCAGCCCTATAATTGCCACGAAGAAGTTTTGTATGCTATAGTCCCATCTAAAACGGGGAATAAAAATATACATAAATGATTGTCACGTTTAAAAAAAACCACTCCTCCCCAGACTACAGAATTACAATGTACAGTTTTAGTTCAATTAGTTCTATTGGACAATTACACAATATGTCAAAACAAATAAATAGATAAGTAAGACAAACATGATTTGTCATAATTAAATCGTTATAATATTGTACATATTTCTTATGATTTAAAGCAGTAAATATGAAATTACGGGATTAATGGCTGTGGCCGATCTGTTGTAGAATGTTTCAGACATACGTGAACGATGTAACATCGCTTTATCGAATTCTCAAAGCACAAGATGTATATAATGAGTCATACACTCTCGACTAAATGCATGAAACGTCACCTTGTCAATCTAAATTATCCATCTATAAATAAAGAAAAACTCACGGCTCGACCCAGAAGGCCTTTTCAGGGTCCATATCTGTTGTGTTATTCATCTGTATCTATCAGCGGACTGGAAATAAAAACGATTGTTATACTGAAGCATGTTGAAAACAATCTCATCGAATGTTCACTAACCTGCAGGTAAGATAGCGACATATTGTATCGATCACCTTGTGTGATGAAAGGGCCCATGAAAGATTTTAAAAGGTGATTTACTGTTGTGGTTGCGCACAACGCATCGAAAGCTTTGTGCGAAATCGTCCGCACACTCGCACTAAACAGTATCTAGCTGTGTTATAGTATCGCACGTTTTGTGCAGTTTGTTGCAAAAAGTCGTCGGCTAAAAATGAAATCTCATATAACTATATGGCGATCACAGGTGTATCAGAATTGATCGGTGAATAGTCATTTTAAATTCGGCATTCTCGAAATGACACTGGTTCCTCGATTAGTTAGTCTTTCTATCGTTTAGTTTCACATCTCAGAGACCGCGAGTGGTGTGCCTCGGGCAAAAATACCTTTATATGTGTACCCAATAGGTAGCCCGTTTAATACACACATCACTTCATATATATACCCGAGTATACATTTATTTTTGTTTACAAAACAGCGAAATGATAGAAAAATTAGGGTAATATATAAGTAATGAAAATAAAATCTCCTTTCTGACGGTATGGGATTTTAGATGATTCATTGTTGAGACAAAAAGAGACGTCCATTTAATGTTTACATATATAATGTAATGTAGTGTATGTATGCAACGGCTGGTCACATGTGGCGCTGTGTAAACAGAATACTTTAAATTGTAAGTGTATATAACTCTTGTGTATGTATCTGATAGATTTGTCCAAACTATAGATGTATGGCTTGATTAGGAAATATACTTAGTGGTACTCTTACATATTTAGAAAATAACTAAACTCTACCCACACTTATCTGTTAGTCGTTTTGAAATTTATATCAACCACGATAGAATCGCACATCTGTGCGACAGAACAGTACAACGTGCGCACAGATTTGCGATAGCTTATTTCGTCCAGTTTTCCTATCGTGTGCACATCGTGCAGACATCGATCGGTCAGCGTGTAACGTTGTCCGAGCTTACAACTGTATATGTTAACTAGTTTTAGAAAGTAATTGCATCCAACATTCCCATTTTCATAAAAGAGAGACAATCGCTACTTAATACTTTAAATAATAAATGTACAATTTTTGTGTTTAAACAAGAATGGTGTAATGCTCCGACGTTCAAACCTACTTTATTCGAAAATTTAGTCATGCCTAATTTCCTTCTATTTATTTCTAATATATATTATCGATTAAACAATCATTAGGATTGCGTTATACATAGTTCCCTTGATATCCTACTATATCTAATAAATATGTCTAATCCTCCTTTTTGATTTTATGGTTTCATGACGACTACTTGGTCTTTATAACATGTCAACAGAATCTTAATCCAAATTCAAATTAGATGAAACTAGGACAAAATACCAACAAACGAAATGGAGATCCCCGAAAACGTACAAGGAGAATAAGACCAGATGTTCCTGAAGGATAATCGTCTTCTGCTTCATCAACGACACCCACCATGTAAATCTCGTTAAACAAAACGATGACTAAGGTCACGTTCTCAAGTGATTTTAATTTCATCAGACATACTAACGTGATTCCAAAACATCCAAACAAGTCCCTGATCTACCGTAATGTTTACAAATACAGTTTTATAAACATGTAGGAGGGCTGATATAAGGATTTTAAAAATTTTAAATGCGTTCCTATTGCTTCATAACGAAATCTTTATCAGGACAAATAAACTGGACTGTTATGTTTTCAATCGTATACATCTAGGAATATAGTTATAATTAAAACATTGAAACTCTCACCTGTAGCTCCTAGACAGGACTCTCCTGAAAGGATTTTTGAGTCATGTTGCCAGTCCAACAACAAATACAAGTGACCCGTGATTTAACGAAGCAAGAAAGCTATACTGCTCCTGTTATTCACAGCTCGACAGGTAAATCTAGGAAAAGCCATGTTAGATCTATGTTACATGATGATGTCGTATTAGGCACATTCAATTCATTTTACATGTGAACTTATTTAAAATGTGGCAGTTTTACACTGATTGATATTGTATACATCAGATGAAATACATGTATAAGAACCCCGTACAAACGATAAATGAGACGGAGTGAAGAAATGGGCGAAGTAATCCAAAGTAAGAAATCAAAGACCTGAACTGAACGGGCACCAATCACATTACACAACAATATGACACGACTAGAACGGACACCATGATCACAGCATGGCACCAATCACATTACACAACAATATGACACGGCTGGAACGGACACCGTGATCACAGCATGGCACCGATCACATTACACAACAATATGACACGGCTGGAACGGACACTATAATAACAGCATGGCACCTATCACATTACACAACAATATGACACGACAAGAACGGACACCATGATCACAGCATGGCACCAATCACATTACACAACAATATGACACGTCTGGAACGGACACCGTGATCACAGCATGGCACCGATCACATTACACAACAATATGACACGGCTGGAACGGACACTATAATAACAGCATGGCACCTATCACATTACACAACAATATGACACGGCTGGAACGGACACCGTGATCACAGCATGGCACCGATCACATTACACAACAATATGACACGACTAGAACGGACACCGTGATCACAGCATGGCACCGATCACATTACACAACAATATGACACGTCTGGAACGGACACCGTGATCACAGCATGGCACCGATCACATTACACAACAATATGACACGACAAGAACGGACACCATGATCACAGCATGGCACCAATCACATTACACAACAATATGACACGTCTGGAACGGACACCGTGATCACAGCATGGCACCGATCACATTACACAACAATATGACACGACTAGAACGGACACCGTGATCACAGCATGGCACCGATCACATTACACAACAATATGACACGTCTGGAACGGACACCGTGATCACAGCATGGCACCGATCACATTACACAACAATATGACACGACAAGAACGGACACCGTGATCACAGCATGGCACCGATCACATTACACAACAATATGACACGTCTGGAACGGACACCGTGATCACAGCATGGCACCGATCATATTACACAACAATATGACACGGCTGGAACGGACACTATAATAACAGCATGGCACCTATCACATTACACAACAATATGACACGGCTGGAATGGACACCGTGATCACAGCATGGCACCGATCACATTACACAACAATATGCCACGGCTGGAACGGACACCGTGATCACAGCATGGCACCGATCACAATACACAACAATATGACACGGCTGGAACGGACACCGTGATCACAGCATGGCACCTATCACATTACACAACAATATGACACGGCTGGAACGGACACCGTGATCACAGCATGGCACCAATCACATTACACAACAATATGACACGACTAGAACGGACACCATGATCACAGCATGGCACCAATTACACGATCAAAATAAGTCTTACTAAGTATGTACAAAATATGTTCCTCCAACGATTTTCAATATTGGAAAAGCTTCTTCGATCGTGTCCTATAATGTTTTCTTATTGTTTTAGAAAACCCGAACAAAATGTCTATTATAATATTACTATCATGACAGTGTTAAATAGGTTTTGGATGTCAAATTTAAAACCACATAAATTGTTTCTCGTGGCCTTGGGTCCTACAGCTGTCCAGCTGTCGCGACTTGTAAGCTACACCAAGAGGTAAGCACTGCGGACATCGATTCCTACCTGTAACATACCTTCTTTGTCTTCAATTTGAAATGAAATTCAATAAGTAGTGATATTTACAATCTTGTATCAAAACATAATGTACCTTGATCGGATGAGGACGATTGTCCTGAACACCGGTGTCAGCATCAGGCGTAGGCGGGATTTAAAAAATAAAGGTATGATGATATGAAAGTGCAATCTGCCGCCAATTTACACCGATAATGGACATTTTGTTATAACGTCTACTTTTAAATAACTCTAATAAGGTGTAGTAAGAAGTCTGACAGGAATGGATATATTCCAGCATAGCTACCATAGAAAGGTCAACAAATCGTGATAGCGGTGTAGAAAGCAACAAAAAATATAAACGGATTTCTAGTTTCGCGTTTATGGACAAAATGCTTATCACATTCACGTTTGAGTATTCAATCATTTACAAACCGGTGGGATTAAGAATTTTACCCGAAAGTTCCGCTGCGTTACTTATTAATAACATTTTACCTGGACACCTCGCTGAAGTGTCATATAAGGAATAGATTTAATGTGAATCGGATGACGATGACACTACCACATAAAAAATTATTTCTTTAATGTATACTGATTCTACATACAATAGTAGTGGATAAATCTGTCTCGTAAGGAAACATGCCAGATTACCAGCCAATAACGAAACCATCAACACCTTCAATGCCACAAAAAGAGTAGACACACCAAGTAAAACCCCTAAACATATCAATACCTGAATATTATTTTACCTAGGTCCTTTGTTCTTATATCAATGCCGCAGCCCTCATCGCAGCATTAATAGCAGTCACAGAAACATTGAAATCCCTTCATTTTTACTTTCACACATCCTCTCTTTAAATAACAAGATATTTCTTTATCACGGCTGTCGTATACAGCACAATCTGAATTCTAGGAGACGACAGTTTCTCCTTCATCAGCTGTTTATCTGCACCGCTTCCTTCAATGAATCCAACATGGACAGCATTCAGGCAAACTGTATGATAAGCATCATGATTTCAATTTCCCTATTGTGATTTTTCCATTTCTGGACAGCATAATACCTGCATCCCCAACCTATGGTGTTCCCATGCCGCAGTTGATTCGGAATGTTTGTTTGAAACCGGGAGTGACAACAATATGCCATCCAAGATTGATAACGAGAAAATCACAAACACTTGTTTGTATGTCCATTAAAACACTTTCCTTTCTTTCCTGAATCTGAGAGCAACAATGCAA